CCAACTTTTTGAAACCTTGCAAACAGGGTTGTATTTTTTTTTTTTTTACTGTGTGTACGCTGGATATAAATTTGGAAGTCAGAAATACTAATTTATTGAATTTATTGATTGTCATTAATTCAATATGGGACAATGTGAAGAGCACCTCTCCAAGCACTGGGGACTTGGATAATTAGAATAACAATGTCAATGAGAGTGAGCACTTACTGAGCACTTCCTCTATGCCAGACATTGTGCTCAGTACCTATTGCTGGTGATTCTCTGATGACCTCATGACCAAATGACCTATCCTCAACTCCAGTTTACAGGAAAGGAAACCAAGGCTTAAAGAGGCTAAGCAACTAGCCCATGATGGCATGGCTATTAAGTGGCACAGCTGGTGTTTGAATCCAGATGTGTCTGACCCCAAAGACAGAAGCCGTTTGCTACAGACTAATTCCGTGACTTTGGAAATGCCACTTAACTTCTGAGCTTCACCATGTAATGGTGGAATTCAATGAGACAATCTCTCTGGTTGCTTCCAGTTTGTAAGATGTAAAACCCTTCAGTTGAAGAAGTCAGTCTGCTCATTTCCACTGCTCTCCCCTCCCCAGAAGCAGAATCCTTGCAGGGTAAATGGGGGTGACTCTGAGCAACTCCAGCCCTGTAGGAGTTTAGTTGCAGAGACTGGTAAGAACCTGACCCAGTGGGAAGAGGGAGCCAAGAGGGCAATGGCCAGAGTCTCTTCTGTCCATCCACGCATGTTTATTCATCCACTTAGCCGAAGTAGATGTGCTGCCTTTCCCATCAATTCCCAGTGCTGCCTGCATAACTTTCCATGACTATTCTACTACACTAGACCTTAGAAAATCGGTATGAAGAAAGGAGGTCAGAGAAGAGCGGGAACAGTTGCAGGCTGATGTGGACTGGAATGGTTTGCACCTGATCCCCAGGGGGATGTGAAATTAAAGTGGCCTCTCCAGTGAGTCACGTCCCCCATCAGCTGCTCCCTCCACCCTCCTTTTACAAGTGCCAGTTACTGTGTGTGAGAAGCGTCCCCAAAGCCCTCACGCACCACCTGCCAGTCTTGCTGAATATGAAATTAATGACAGCAATAAAAACTAAGCTAGGCTGCGCGTGGTGGCTCACGCCTGTAATCCTAGCACTCTGGAAGGCCGAGGTGGGTGGATTGTTTGAGCTCAGGAGTTTGAGACCAGCCTGAGCAAGAGTGAGACCCCATCTTTACTAAAAAAAAATAGAAAGAAATTATATGGACAACTAAAAATATATAGAGAAATTAGCCGGGCATGGTGGCGCATGCCTGTAGTCCCAGCTACTCGGGAGGCTGAGGCAGGAGGATCGCTTGAGCCCAGGAGTTTGAGGTTGCTGTGAGCTAGGCTGACGCCACGGCACTCACTCTAGCCCGGGCAAAAGAGTGAGACTCTGTCTCAAAAACAAACAGACAAACAAAAAAAAAACCAAAAAACTAAGCTAGCAGCTATCGAGTGCTTGCTATGATAGGCATTGCCCCCAGCTCCTTTGTTAAGTATTACGTAACCCTCACAACAATCTTGTCAAGTAGATGCTAGTGTCACTCCCATGTAAGGATGGGGACACTGAGGCTTAGAGCAGTTGAGTGACTTGTTTCAGGATCCAGCTCCCATAAGAGGTGGAGCTGGCACTTGATCTTGGGTCTCTCTGGCTCCACCTCTCTGCTCTGAGCCAGGACGCGATTCTGCCGCTGCCCTGCCCCCCTGGGTCTGACTGAGTTCTTTCCATGCAGCCTGCTGGTGTTCAGCCCTGGGGTCCTACCAGACACCCTGCAGCCCCGTGACTGGACAGTGTGAATGCCGGCCAGGGATTACAGGACAGCGGTGTGACAGGTGCCTCTCGGGAGCTTATGATTTCCCCCACTGCCAAGGTAGGGAAGCCAGCAGCATGCTGGAGGGTGGGTCCTCTCTGAGGTGTGTGCAGACAGCCTCCCAGGGAAGCCTGCAATGCCCTGCAGCACCACCACTGGTACTTCGACATGTTTGACCCAATCCGTCTTGTTCCTCTGTAGTTTGAGTCAGTTGAAGACACATATATCAGATGTGCATCCTCAAAGGAATCAAGAAATGATTCGTTCCTAACTTCAAAAAATTTAAATTCCCATGTCTTATAAATTTGGGTTTCTTGGTTCACATGTCAAATTTCTGGGGACAGCGGTGTGGCAAAGGTGACTCCTTTAAGCTAAACAGAGCATTTGTGTCCCCTGTCCTAAGGCATCGTACCTTCTCTCCTTATTGGCTTGCGGTGCTGCTGTTGGCTGTGCCGTAATCTTCCTCACAGGTGCCCTTGTGGGCAGGCTGAGTGGGACCTTTGCTATGTTTCTGTCCCACTCTCCCTGCCTGCCTCTGGCCCCCTGGGGGACTGTCTTCACACTTCAACCCAGGTGTTAGGGGGAGGGGAGTGGGGTGCATGGGAGTCTTTGCTGTTTAGAGAGAGTGAGCCAAGGAGGAGGGAGATGGAAACCAAACCTGTGGCTGTGGGATATTGTTGGTATTCAGCCCTCCATTGATGTGAGAGATTGAGAGTCGGCCATGTTCTGGGGCAGAGGGGACAAAAATGAGATGCCTGCAAATCACCCTGAGCTTCCTGGTGTGGGCAGCCTCCAAGGCGCAGGCTAGTAGCTCCTGACTATTGATTTCAGTGAACTCTTGCTCTGTTGGAAAGTATTAGTCCATCAGGAGAATGTGGTTTTCTCACACCAGCCTGTCCAGCCTGACATCCAGAGCTGGCTGCAGGCAAGACTGCAAGCAGACTTCATTTCCCAGAACCTTACTAACCAGAATCCTCAAGAGACCAGGTTTTCTTGAGGATGGAAATTGCAGCCAGCAGTCAGAGGGGACTGCTTGCCTTTGAGAAGGCCTGAAGGTCCCTGGCGTTCGAGGGCATCCCAGGGTGGGTCTGCTACCTCCATGCACCTCAGGAGCCAAAGGAAGCATGTGACTGCCGGGCAGAGAGGCTGAGAGCCATGGCCATGTCAGGGCTATATGGCCACGTTTGTGTCCTGGGAAGGAACCCTAGGCTGGGCATGGCCAGGCTGGAAAACAAAGATGGGAGAGTTAAGTTTAGTATTACAGAAAAATATGGGGGACAGAAGAATATCAGAGAGAGAGAGAGAAAGAGAGAGAGAGAGAGAGAGAGGTTAAGGGGATACTGAAGCCAACAGAAACAAAGGCAAAAAGGCTAACTAACAATTTGTAAGGAAACACAATCTTCTCATGGATTTATTTAAATGATTTGAAAAACCAGGCTCGGAATGGACTTACCTAACCTTTTTCAGTTCGAATGCTGTATAATAGTAATACTGAAACACTGTAAGATCGCAATTTATTGAAGAGAGAGTATATTAGGCTTGTAGTGCTATACTAAATCAAGACAGAAAACTAATTGGTTTTATAAATAACTTTAGTACAGGTGGGAACAAGGGGGTTGTGATAATTAAAGAATTAACTCTTGGTTAATCAAAAACTGTTCTTGCAAATTGTGTAACTTCTTTTTAATGGACAATTAAAAATCTCTTGGTACCATATTGCCCTCTTCTGGACAATACTAAAGATGCTCAAAATTTTAGAACCTCCTTTTCCTAATCTCTCCATCATCAATTAGAAATGAATTTTTATTAGTAGGCGGGGTAGAGAATTGTAGCAAAAGAGGTGATTTGGGGATTAAGGACCGTAAATGTTATTTGGGATTTGATTGCACACAAAGTCTTTGCCACCCATCGATCAAAAAATGTAAACGTTTTTGCACTATTTTTAAAAGCATGAAAAACTTTTAAAACTTCAAACATCAAAACAAAGAGAAAAATAAACAAGCCACCAGATATTTTTTAAAATTTCTAAATCCTACACAGGTTCCAGCAGTGCTTGTGACCCGGCTGGAACCATCGACTCCAGTTTGGTAAGTAGAGGATTATAAAAGGGCTGCGATTCTAGCTACTGGTATTATTCTGACATGTATTAAAGATTGTGCAGGAGCTCCTGAAATTAAAAGTAAATGCAAATAAAGCTTGAGGCCAAATTGCTTAAAGAAGTCATTGTTCTTTTTCAAAGTACATAGGTGATTTTGTGATTTTTTTCAAAAACAAAAGAATAAGGTCTATCTAAACATTTTATTCTAGAAACTTTAACTCTTACTGTAGGTTACTCTGAGGGTGTTGCCACCATGGAGCCTTGCACATAAGTCTAACAAACATAATTAATAAAACAGAAAATCAATGGCCAAAGACAATAAAGTCAGCTGTGTACAAAATAATTACAACTTATATTATTCCAAACACAGTAGTATGGTATTCTTAGGACAATTTTCTAAGACATTTAGAAATTATCTATCTTCTTGGCCTCAAAGCCTAGAGATGCTGGCCTCCAGGCACCGGATGGACAGGGTGACAGAGGTTCTGCCATCCTTACTATGAGCCTTGACGATGTCGAAACAAGGCAGCTAATCTTGCATATTACAAAAGCACTCTCAGATAAACATAATTCTTCACTGATTCTCAATGTGTTAAATATTGAGATATTTTTCCATTTTAATTATAGTCCACACTGTAACAGCATCAACAGACGCTGACAATTTTATAAAGAAGCGTTATTTAAAAATTTTTTTCTTTCTCTCTATTTTCAAATTTCTTTTTAACCACAAATGTGGATTATATGTATAACAAATAAATGAATAAACAACCTAAAGCAATTAGCAATTAGCAGACTGTTGAAATCAACCCAGTATGTTTGTTCCCCCTGGATACATTTAATTATTTTTCATGGCCAAAATATATTTCTGTGACAAGCCTTTGCTTAGAGCACATGTTTGAAAACATATCAGTTCCAAGATGTCAAATGTTAGTTTGATTTTCATTCAAAGGGGTATTGCCAATGCAAGCTTCATGTTGAAAGTCCTACTTGTAGCATCTGCAAACCATTATATTGGAATCTAGCCAAAGAAAACCCCAATGGATGTTCAGGTAAGGTTTCTCATACAACATAATTTACTGTATTGTGACTTCCTCTTAATTTTCTCTGCCTCGGTAACTAAAACCACAAAAGAGCTATTTGCTGAATCAATTTGATTTGATTGAAATTCCATGTAATGTTTTGATATTCCCCCCCCAGCCCCAACTTTTTGCAGAACTTCTGTCGTTTTCAAAATCTCAGTAAGGGATGGATTTATATCCTGTTTCCATATGTATTTTGTTGTTTGCAAAGGCAGCCACTTGATAAACGGTTTTTATGTTCTTGTTTTTATAATCTATTCTTTCTGGTTTAATTTTATGCTTATTTTGAAGCCGGGATAAGCGCTAAAAAACACCCAATGAAAGGTACTAAACAGACTGAATATCCTTGAATAGAGTGTATTTTCATGCAGGCACATTAGTAATGACCTTGACACTAGAATCATTTCAAAATCCCATGATGTTGCAGCTTTTGTCTTGGAGTAGCCATAAACTAGCCACTACTTTATGTAGATGGATGGTATCGATTGGTCTGTTCTGCCAACTCCAGAAAGCAATCCAATTTTGGGACTCAGTGGTGCAAACTGTAATTCTGCTAAATGTGCAGGAAAGGCTGACTGCACATGTTACATTGCAGGCGTGGAAGGTTCCCAGAGCTGGGGAACTGTCTTTGGTGTCACCCTTGGTTCAAGGGCGCTCTCTTTTCTCCACAGAATGCCAGTGCGATAAGGCGGGAACAGTGAGTGGAGCTGGAGAATGTGGGCAGGTAACGTGGGCCGAGTTTTCATGAGATAACAGTAAAAACGTTATAGCAACTGATTGTGGAGTTTCTGGGGGAGTGTGTTAGTACCTCTGTAATCATACAGTGTGGGGTAATCTTTTTCTCATTCTGGCTGCACCACTTCTTGTGAGCTAGTTTTCAATCTTGAAGATTCTGGAGTTCTGTAATTGTATCGAATTTTGTCATCTGCAGGGAGATGGTGACTGTCACTGCAAGTCCCATGTGGGCGGTGATTCCTGTGACACCTGTGACGATGGATATTTTGCTTTGGAAAAGAGCAATTACTTTGGGTGTCAAGGTAAATACGTCCAGGGGTCTTAAGCAAAGGTCAGCGTTGATGGACAGAGATGGTCAGAATAACCTTCCTTCTGTGCTGGTTGTCTTCATGCAGACTTTCTGATGGAATGGCACTGAAACAGCCTGTCCAGGGAATTTGGCCAAACATTACATGGAAACTAGTCATAAATTGCAAACAGGGTTGTTTCCACTTCTCTTCTACCGGCACACTGTTGGCTTAATTATAATTGGGATGGGAGGGCATCTGTTAATTTTATAAATAACATCAAGACTTAATAATTTTAAAGATATATTTTGTATTATCAGAAAAGCTAACACTATATTTTTAGAGAGAGTGTCGTGGTAAATAGCGAAGTTGCAGGAATAGTGACCCCACAAGGCTACTCCTGAATCTCTCGCACGGCTCCTCGTTAGTGCACATTATTTACGATAGCACTGTGTTTCTGAATCATGTTGAGCTCCTGAGCTCCTGTCACCTTTGCACTGGACAACCGTGTTTGAACTGGCCTGCAGTAGTGCACCTCTGACTTAGAAGTGCACTTTTGGAGGGACACACCATTTTAGTTTGGAAGATTCCTACATATTTGAAACGCTGGCCAGATACAAGATGTGGCAGAGGAAGGAAGGCAGCCACCCTGTGATCATTGGGTTCCCCTTCTTGTAGAGGCGGGGAAGCGCTCAGCAAGGAGGCGACTCGACGGGTAAACGCTGCTGTTTCCTGACTTCCAGGGTGTCAGTGTGACATTGGCGGGGCGCTCTCCTCTGTGTGCAGCGGGCCCTCCGGAGCATGCCAGTGCCGAGGGCACGTCGTGGGAAAGGCGTGCCAGTGGTGAGTCTTCAGGAGGCTTCTTCCCGTGTGCGTGTTGTAGAAGATGGCCTTAGACATTCCTGCCTGTGCTACTGCTCTGGTGAGGAGAGACGCAGTCCTAAGGATGGAGGGCAGATGAAGCTGTCCTATATAATTCGCAGTCTGGACACTTGTCTGTGAGCTGATTAAAACAGGAGGCAAAGTTGCCCATGAAGCCTGTTCCACTGGGTAGGCCACGGAGCAGCTTCACTTGAAAGTTCCCATGGGTGCAAAAAGCCGGGTGGGCAAGACGAGAGCTGGAAGCATGAGGTGGGTTCATGTGTCCCAGCCGCCATGTACAGGTCAGAGGATGAGGAGCCAGCAGATGGACCAGCTCTGGGAGAGAGGGAATTAACAAGGGGCAGCTCCCCATGCCCAGGTACCTGGGCTGATGAGACTCAGTTCCTGCTTCTCCCTTGGGACCCAGGAGTGAGGGATTGGAGAGGCCAGGGTGTTACTAGGCACTGGGGTTGGGGGTAAGAAGACTAGAAGTGGGAAGAAGCGCCTCATCTCACACAGAAGCAGATTACAGTGAACTGCAGGGGCAAGGGGGACGAGGTGGAGCTGGAGGCCAGGGGAGGCTGTAGGAACCATGGCAGTGCACGCTCTCTTCAGCCATCCTATTTAGCACTTTTAAATATTTTGAAGCCATTATCCATCCATAATTTTCCCTCAGTGGAGGGAAGAAAAACTTAAGCTTTAATATTCTGACTTTTAATCATATGCTGGAAACTCTGTGAAATGCAACTTCTTCTAAATCTCAGGTGCCTTCACTACTTGTGTTATCAGCAGATGAACAAAGAAATCTTTTATGTAGTTAAGGTAAAGTGTCTGTATTTGATATGGTGTTTCTCTCCTTTTCCTCGATGTTTGCAATATTTGAAGGCTAAAGGTCAGAGCAACCTAGCTGTGCTTTTTTTGGTCTTTCCCGTTGGCTGTCGCCGCTGGGCCTTGTAATAAGAGAAGGACATGGCTCACACCTGTAATTCTAGCACTCTGGGAGGCCAAGGCGGGAGGATCGCTTAAGGTCAGGAGTTTGAGACCAGCTTGAGCAAGAGCGAGACCCCTGTCTCTACTAAAAATAGAAACAAAAAATTAGCCAGGCATGGTGGCTTGCGCCTGTAGTCCCAGCTACTTGGGAGGCTGAGGCAGGAGGATTGCTTGAGCCCAGGAGTCTGAAGTTGCAGTGAGCTAGGCTGACTCCACGGCACTCACTCTAGCTCGGGCAACAAAGTGAGACTCTGTCTCAAAAAAAAGAAAAAAAAGAGAGAGAAGGACAGACACATCTCTGTAGGTTCGTTTCCCCACCACTAACCAGTGCCCTCACAACGGACCAGAAGAACTTTGTAGATACGTTCATAGACATTTTCCGCCTGTGTTTCACCTCTTTCCACCCTTGTGTTGATAAAGTGGGCATTTCCCTTACTTAACCAGCAAATGTTTCTTCTCCTTTCAACTGTATAAGTGATTGGCTGGTTTTCAGGACAAAATGTTGCAACCAAATGGGAATTAAATTACCCAGCCTGAGGCAAAAATACTGACTTTTACATTACGGTACACGTGCACACACACATCTTGAAATTTAGATCATGTCCTTTGATTTAGTGGCAAATGATAACTGAAAGAAAGGATGGGAAATGAGCAGTGTGGGTGGCATGGCGCCTTTTCTCCAGGTTGACAATCTGTGTCCTTTTTGCCAAATCCTCCCAAATGTTTGTTTATGATATTATCTGAGTACTGTCAGGTTTTCTTACAAGTTTAGAAATCATTCGCATTCACTTGGTTTTCTAAATAATTTTTATGACAATAAATGTAATATATGTTCATTATAGACATTTTAATATATTCATAAAAGTAAAAAGACAGAGAAAAATCTTCATTCCTCTACCCAGAGATAACCCCTTTTAATATTTTTGGTGTATTTTTTTCCAGAGTTTCTTTATGAATAAAAATTAACATTGTATTTTTCATATAATTTGTATCAGTTTCTTCATGTATCTCAAAGATTTCTTATTATCATTAAAGCATCTTCAAAAATATTAATGGTTGTATAATATTTCATAATTTATTTCATAATTGTAGTACATTTACATTGTTTACAAGTCTTCATTGTTATAAACATTCTTTTATGTTAATTCTTTGACACTATCTATAAAAATCACTCTTTATGGAAGTTGAATTACTGGGTCATGGGTATGAGCATTTTTTTTTTTTTTGAGACAGAGTCTCACTCTTTTTGCTCGGGCTAGAGTGCTGTGGCATTAGCCTGGCTCACAGCAACCTCAAACTCCCGGGCTCTAAGCAATCCTTCTCCCTCAGCCTCCTGAGTAGCTGGGACTACAGGTATGCGCCACCATGCCCGGCTAATTTTTTCTATATATTTTTAGTTGTCCGATTAATTTCTTTCTAATTTTAGTAGAGACGGGGTCTCGCTCTTGCTCAGGCTGGTCTCGAACTCCTGAGCTCAAACAATCTGCCCACCTCGGCCTCCCAGAGAGCTAGGATTATAGGCGTGAGCCACTGCACCCGGCCGGTGTGAGCATTTTTAAGGATCTTTGCGAATTGCTTCTGGAAAAGTTGTAGGCATTTGTAATTTTACTTGCAATATAGGAGCACGGTTTTTTATTTCCTTTGACTGATTGATGTTTATGGTTTTAAATCCACTAACTGCTATTAGCTTGTGAACTAGATTGGCAAAATGTATCATTTTGAAGGACTTCGAGTAGTTTGTTAAAAGCCACACAAGCATTAGAGTATTTTTGATTCTTCTCTTTGCCCACCATGCTTGGACTCTTGAAAGGAATCCATTAATAGGCATGTATACAGTTCAAGAGAAAATAAGGGATAGAAAAGTCATTCTAACAATTAAAAAATGCATATAGAGGAAAATGTATCTAACTTGTAAATTCAGCATATGAAATATTTTGTATCATGTTTACCATTGTATTTATGGTGCTTAGCAACAATGCCTGGCATATAGATATTAATATTTGTGTAATGAGTGAGTATGAGGGTATGAATGAATGAATGATTATATAAATAAATAGTAAATAACCTAATTTGAGTTTGCTAAGTTGTTGGCAATCATTGAGAACATATTCAAGGATGCTACCACTATGGGTTGAGCTAAATGATTTTCTCACTTTAATGCTTGGAATGAGTAAGTGTTGAAGGTGTTTTATGTGAATGTTTATGTGAATGAAAAGCATAATTTAGAGAAAGAGCAGGGGACCTCTCTCATTTTTCTTGTTTAATGTATTCTGTCAACATGGCAGAGTTCTTTTAGCAGTAACTTTGGGATTAAAGGATATTCAGATGACCAATGACCCTAATTTGTTGTATCTTTGTTTACTTTTTATTTATAAAAGGCCTGAAAACAACTACTATTTCCCAGATTTGCATCATATGAAGTATGAGATTGAAGATGGCACTACCCCTGATGGAAGGGACCTTCGGTTTGGATTTGATCCCCTGGAGTTTCCTGAGTTTAGCTGGAGAGGATATGCCCAGATGACCTCAGTACAGGTACATGGCCACTAGGAAACAGCTTCATGGTGGTGTAGTCCAGAAACTTACCCACAGCATTCTTGGTGAGCCCCCCAAAAGGTGGCCTGTCCCCAAAACCAGGATTTTTTTTCTCCAGAGTAGGGTTTGGGTTGGAGTTGGGGTTAAACTTAGGGTTTGAGGTAGGGCTGGGCCTTAACTGATAAGCATATATGTGGATTTCATACTTCATCGTTACTTGGATTTGGGCAACAAATCAGAAAGTGAAGGGATTAAAGAAAATGATGTTTATCTCTGGAGACATTTTACAAGAAGAAAGAAATTTCTTTCTTCATCAGGCTATATTATAACATGAGGGACATTTTTCTTTAAAACTACTTATGGAAAAATAAAAATGAGTTAGTTTAAATAATTCCAGGAAAGCTAGTCTTGCTAATTTTTGGCTGATGCCTTCGTTAAACTCCGAATTACTGTGTGCATAGAAACTAAGATAAATGATCAGTGTCAGTGCTATTTAATTTTTCTTTCCCATATTTCTTCTTTCCTTCTTTCTTCTCTACTGTATCTTGGCTTTGCATTAGAATAAATGAGGGAATTCTTTAGAACTTACATAATATTTATAACTAAATAATTCTGTATAGTTATTGAGTGGTTTTGTACTCAGAATTTCTCTTTGAAGTTGGTCTCTTTAAGCTGTTTTTCAGTGAGAAATTCAGAATAAGAGAGGTAAACTGATGACCGTGGTAACCCAATAATTGTCCTTAGCAGAGTCAGGACCAGATATTTCTATCTCAGGCAGCCCGTGGAGTAACTAGGACAGCTTCACAGTTCTCTGGGAGCCCCCACTGATTCTAATACTGCTTTGTACCTGGCCAAAATCCCTCATGCAAGCTGCCTTTCCCAAATAATACCTAGGATCTTAAGACACCTCACTCTTTCTTCCTTCTCCCCAAATACAGCAATTTGTTTTCTTTAGTGTACTGATCTTATTTCACTATTCAGAAAAAAGCAGTGGATTCCATTGAATCATAGTAGGTTGTGAGTAACTGAGAGCCCAGTCAAGGTGGATACTTTCTCACAGGTGCATACAGCTGGTAGACACAAAGGAATGAATTCCAAATGATGGATTTTCTGACGAAGTTGTTTTGGTCAGAGGACTTTGGTGGTGTCCCTAAAAATCACCACTAACTCTACTCTGCTTCTAATACATTTTTTCTTATTTTGTTTTCCAACTTGGTACTAATACTTAAAGATGAATTCAGACAAAGTGTGTGGGCCCACAGGAGCTCCTCAGAGTCAGCCACCTGCAGCTCCTGCTTCCAGAGCAAGTGATCCCACCCAAAGTCAGTCTTTACTGTCACCAGTATCTCACTCTACAAATATCCCCTTCCTTTTAACCAAAGGAGCTGGGGAGAGACCAAAAGACCTAAATGATTTGGGAATTTCCAAGCTCCGTGAACTTTCTTTGGGCCACAGCCAGAGCTGGACATGTAGCCTGTGGTTCAGAATTAAAGTAGTCTACTGCTTCTTTCAAGATCACGGGCTCCACCATGCTTAGAGAGTATTGCCTGAGCCCTAGGCCCTGGGCAGCAGCAGGACCCTTCCTCTGGGATGAAGAGCTACCATTCTTCTCACATAGGAGATTGAGATAAAACTTCATAACACTTAATAGGTGTATTTTAATTACATCCAGATTTTCCCACTATTGTGTTTGGGGTCTTAAACCTTTCCCTAGCCGCTGTGGTTTCTGTGACCATTTGGACTTTATATAGGTGAAGTGGACCCTAGGGTGGTCTCTCTACAGGGCTGTTGGTGTGAAATAATACACTTCCCTCTCCTTCTCTTCTGCCTTTATATCTTTCCCAGCCAGTGGTGGTTGTCCCTGTTACTGTGGTTTTCTTTTTTCTTTTTTTTTTATTTCAGCATATTATGGGGGTACAGACGTTTAGGTTACGTATGTTGCCCTTGCCCCCCCTCTCCCCCAAGTCCGAGCTTCAAGCGTGTCCATCCCCCGGGAGGTGCTCAACATCTCTAATTATCAGGGAAATGCAAATCAAAACCACAATGAGATATCACTTATCTCCAGTGAGACTGGCCTTTATCAAAAAGTCCCAAAACAATAAATGTTGGCATGGATGCAGAGAGGTAGGAATACTCTTACACTGCTGGTGGGACTTCAAACTAGTGCAACTTCTGTGGAAAGCAATATGGAGATACCTTAAAGAGATACAAGTAGAACTACCATTTGATCCAGCAGTCCCATTGCTGGGCATCTACCCAAAAGAACAAAAGTCGCCCTATGAAAAAGACACTGTGGCTTTCTTAAACTAGTCCATCTAATACTCCGCCCTGTCTGCCTGATTACAAAGAAGGTCAAAAGACGATCTGAGTTGCTAAGGGAGTGCGTTTCACTGTAACTTTGCTTGTAAGTGATTTTCATTCATTATTAGACTTGCCTGTTTCCATCTTCCACACATTACTCAGTGCTTGTTGAGTGGGTGTGAATATGTATGTATTTGTGTGTGTGTGCGTGTGTGTGTGTGTAAGTGAAACAGTGAAACTGGACTAAAGTCACTGTTTGGCTAGCATGTCTTTTAAACAGTTGTTTTTTCTACACTTTATGGCTTTTGGGTATTTTTCAGAATGATGTAAGAATAATACTGAATGTGGGGAAGTCAAATCTCTCCTTGTTTCGAGTTATTCTGAGATATGTTAACCCCAGAACCGAAGCAGTATCTGGCCGTATTACTATTTATCCATCCCAGGCGAAGGCAGGTAGGTAAAATTTCAAGCCTCGTTTCAATTAAGAAGTGATTGATCAGTGAAACATTATCTCCAATTTTCACAAAGTTGGTCATCCCTAGAAAACGTTAAGCCTGGCATATAGTCTGATTAGACACTTGTCTTGCTGCTATGTCTTTTGTTACTGTTTCATTCTCTAAACAATCTACTTATTTAAATTTTGCTCTTAAATTTATCGTTAACCGTCATGTTAAAAAAATCGATAAAACAACCCACATACCTTGGCTGAACCCAAGAGGTTACCTCCACTGAGCAAAGCTGTTAATAATTTATAACTCATTCATGGTGAAGTAAGCATCACCTTTTTGGGGTTATGTGAGAGACTTTGGCATACTGCCCTAAATTCTCCCATTGTTTCAAGCAAACCAAGTAGTTCAAGGAGAAACAGGCAAGGATAGGAATTTTTAACATGAGTGCTGTAAAGCACGAAGCACGACAGAGCTCCTGGAGGGAGCTGCAAACCTCACTCGAGGGTGAGGGGTTCCTGCAGGCATAGGAACACGGAAGAGAGCACAGCCTGGCCACAAGTCTGTTCCACATGGACTCAGGGCTTCTACCTGTCCTGGAAACAGATTCTGGAAAGCATTTGCAATCCCACAAGGACACAAAATGACACCGATGGAAATCTAATTTATGATCAAGGTGTACCCGTCTTTGTTTAGAACCCGTGGCCGAGTCAAAATTGGGGGAAGCAGTGACATCGTTCCAAGTTGTATCAGCCAGGTGTGTGTGGCTGGAGGTTGATTAACCAAGAGGAAGAATGAGCAGACTCACTCTGTCACTTACAGGGTGCTTTAGCATCCAGACTGAAGTGGGTTCAAGAGGAAACAGAGTTGAGAGGTTTAGTAAATTGCCTAAGTGCACCACTGCTCTTTGTAGACCAGTTTTCAGAGTCCGAACTCATTCTCACAGACCACTCTGCTCCTCGGTGACAATAGCATCAGCTTCTGCCCTCTGTTAACCCAAGTAGGTGGCAGACATTTTGGCTTGTTTCTTCATCCTCCAGGACACCTGTCCTCCAAGTCTGCATCAGGAGCCCACGTTATGCATTCCCATGGCAAATGATGCTTCTCCCAAATACCACTGTGCAAAATGCTGCCATGTTCTCCTATTTTCTAATCTGTGTACCTTACCTCTCCTGTCCATCATCAGGGAGCAACGGCAATGCTTACTATGTTCACTGCCTTGTCCCCAGAACTTAGTTCCAAACCTGGCACATAGTGGGCCCCCTAGATGTTTGCAGGATGAGAGTGAAGACAAGAATTTGGAGTAAACATTTCTTCTGAAGAAAAAGTTTCAGCTGAACTCAGATGCAACAGTTTTGTTTCTGAACCTTTTACAAATGATCCTCTTTTTGTTTAATGCAGAAGAAAACACATTACTTCCAGAAAACAAACAGAAAACCAAAAGTTTTCTTATTACAAAATGAATACAAGTTCATTCATAGAAGTTAAAATTAAAATTAAAATATAAAAATCACATATAGTGTAGTCCCAGCTACTTGGGAGGCTGAGCAGGAGGATTGTTTGAGCCCAGGAGTTTGAGGCTCTGATGTGCTGTGATTGTACCTGCGAATAGACACTGCAGTCCAGCCTGGGCGACATAGTGAGACCCCCATCTCTAAAAAAAAAGTCACATAAAAACAAAAAAATAAGAAAATAATTTAGTAGCTAATGTACTGTATTGAACTCTTACTATATGCAAGGAACTTTCCTAAACAGCTTATGTATATTAATATACTTATTTAATAAATTAAACAATTATCCATAATCCTAGCATAGATAGCCATTGCTAACATCTTATTGGTGTCTTTCTAGTCTATTTCATACATATGGCTCTGCCTACATAGAACTAAAAAAGTAAGATCAATAAATCTGATCAGTACATATGATTAGTAAACCACCTTAAACTTTTTAAAATGTAAACTGAAAAACTGAATATCTAAAATCATAACACTAACTGATAGAAAAACGCCTTAAGCAGTTCTTTGTATTTCTGATAGGTGCTGCTCAAAGCAAAGAGATCATCTTCCTACCAAGCAAGGAGCCAGCCTTTGTCACCATCCCTGGAAATGGTTTTGCAGACACATTTTCGATCACACCGGGGACATGGATTGCTTGTATTAAGGCAGAGGGAGTCCTCCTGGTAAGACTTAGTTCTGAACAGAGAGCTCCGTGGGCTTCTTCCCACTTCAGAGATGGTCCCATCTAAGACTGTGACCCACAGTGACCACAGGATATCAAAATCATAGGTGGTTTTAGACACAGGGACCATCCAGCCCCCACCCAAGGAACCTATGGTGACATTTGCCCTCAAATGACACAGAAACCAACTCGAGGTATCTTCTATATCCTTTCAACTAGCTTCTCTTGGACAAAAAACAAAAAACAAAAACCAGACAAACAAAAACCCTCCTAAAGGCTCAAAGTTCCAGGAGCTGCTGGCCTGAGACAGGCCCTTCACTGTGTTCCTGAACACGTATGCTGGCACAGAACAGGATCAGGTCTTGGAGGATGACATCGGCAGTCTCAGGAACGAGGCTGAGCAGATAGAGAATGGCATGCCGGTGGTGGACGCTGGGCACAGACAGGCACAGAGACGGCTTAGCGGCTCCTCCTCCTGCAGTGAGGACATCAGCAGACATCCCATTGTCAACAGGACCCAGGAGCACACTCTACAGAGCCCTGGACATTTCACAAGAGTGATAATAGACCCTCCTTGGTAGCGGAGGATAGAAGGACAACTCGTTAGTGAGGATATCCCTGGGCTATCGCCTCTTCTGTTGATCTGTCTTGCTGCTGGATGTGTTATCCTAAACCTCATTCAGTGCAAGTATTTCTGTACATGATTTCTGAATTTGCAGAAGCTGGTCTCTCAGATCACCTACAGGGTGCAACTAATAGCTCCTCACTCATAGGTCCCATGTTTCTTTCCTGCCCAGCCCTGTAGTAGACATTATGTGCAAGGCAACAGGAAGGACACACAGTCCTGCTGGTGTGTTAGATACCAAGCGGGGTAAAATCTCTCCTATCAGGTATCCTCCATCCCTCCTTGTCAGTCCTCATGGTTGTAGTTGTTGCTTATGCCCCTTTTCACCTGGTAGTCTGTTGTCGTCAGTCGACTGCCAAAACTTTGTAATGACATAAATAAGTATAGACCTTCCATCTAAAACGTTGCCACATTCAGCAGGAAGTAGCTTGATGACTGTGTTGCCCCTCCTCCCATAGATATGGAAGGGTAAAAATTGACAGTGGGGAATATGTAATAGAAGATGGTCTGAAAAGGGGTAAAAATGTTTTCTGTCTCTTCAAAACTCCCTCACCGTTTTTGAGAACTAAAACCTACATCCCTGCCTCATGCCAGTGGCTGGGAGGGGCATGGGAATGTGCTTTGTTCTTTGTGCCACAGGAGATGGCTTGGGGGAATTGCCTGGTTGGAGGTAATGAGATTGTTTTAGCCAGAGATGGGATTATGGGACTAATCAGAACCTTTAAAAGCTCTGTACTTCTGCTCAGAGGCAGGACATTGGTACTTTGAGACAGGAGTCTGCCAACCTCCTCATTTGCCAGCAAATTAATAAACTCTTTCTTTCTCCTCCAAAAAAGAGACTCAAAGCTATCAGAAAAAATGCAAAACCTTCCTGAGCACATGTCCCCGCCCTTCCAAAGCATATTTGGGATTTTCAAGCACGAATCAGAAGGATATCTGTAACATAAGCCTGTCTGGGGATTGTGCACAACAAAGTCAGAAGGTTCTAGAGGATGAGAAGACACTAATTTCAGTGACGTTCTCAGTGGTAACAAGAGAAGGAAGAGGCTGCAGGAGCCAGTGCTTGTCTGTGACACTCTTCCTGCTTTCTCCTGCCTTAAACCCAGGCAGTAGTCTCCCCACACAGATTGCCTTCTACACACAACTCTTCATCAAGGGAAAGGCTGTGTCTCAAACACTGATGGAACAGCCAGAGAAGCCTGTTCTCTGAGACAGCCCTCTTTGATGTGTGCTTTGAGGCCTGTTTTAGTTTATAGCAAGGTCTTTTCAAAATAAAATATTTGGGAAAAGCTTGGGGTGGAAAAAATAAAGCTTTTTCTTCTGGCCCAACTTCATTGATTGGCCATGTTAGCAAATCTTAGGCAAGTCCCTTAATTCCAATCCTGCCTCAGTTTCTTCTCCCATACAGCAGGGACAATACTTATTCTAATAGGTCCTTTCCAAATCTGGGATCTTACAAAAATAATGTGAAGGTTTATGCTGTCCATTCAAGACAGCATAAGAACAAGAAGTCCCTGTTCTTGTATCTTCTTAGTAGAAAGCTTTACTGTGTTAAAAAAGTTCAAGAATGTTTCACAATGTTAGAAATGAGGAAGAGGAGAATTCCATTCATACCAAAAATGGGTACAAAGTTGGACTAAGGGGAAGAAAAGGTACAATATAAAAGTTCCTACCTAGGCATGGAAGATGCTTGATGACATTTAATCTGTGTGATTGTGTAGTAATATTAATACATATGTATGCCTCCATGTTATGATCTCATTTTCTCTAAAAATATTTTATTGAACGCTTATTATCAACCTTTCCTTTTCTAGGATCTGTGGGACCATAAAGTAATGAGAACATACAGTTCCGACCTAGGAAACTTACTCATATAACAATAACCATTTAAAAATGAAAACTCACTCTGAGTCCCCTGAGCCATGATCTGCTACTTTTCCCCTCCCGTACATTTCTCTCTGAGGTCCATGTATGAGCCTCATCTCAGCTGAGGCAAACATCCCCTCCCCGCTTCCTTCTGCAGATATGTGGCGCTGCCAGGACGGCTGGGAGCTGTCAGTCATCCACGTCTCAGAAGCCTGGAGCTCTGCTCTTTCCTGAAGAGCTGCTTAGCTGAATTTACGTTGTGGGATTCGTTTGGCACATTCAGTGGAACATGTTCTTCCTCTCATTTCTGGGACAGGCAGCAGGCCAGTTCCCTCCTATGAATCACCAGATCACAAAGCATCACTTTTTATACCATGCCAGTTGAGCGCTGCTCGGGTGTGGGGGCAGGAAGCCATCAGACATGATCCACGTTCAGTGTGCTGTACTGATGGAGACAACCAGCATTTCCAAGGAACGTTTGACCTATTGACCTTTGTTATCTTTGTAAATGTTTGAATTTCTAAACAAACTGGAAGAGACAAATTTCTCCTGAGAATTGAAAGATAGAACCGTCCACATTGAGGAGCTTCTCTCCAATGCATAAACAACCTCAGATGAGTTGCTTTGGGTGTTCTCGTGACTCAGCACGAAGAACAAAGCAGTTGATATGGAGAGTTTAACTAGTGGCTTCACCTGGTTATTATTTATTTAACTAGGATGTTGGGAGTATTATATTACCAAAGCGGGGCTACCATCAAAATGAATAATTTTGTCTTTTTGGTCTTTATTTACTAGGATTACTTGGTGCTGCTCCCCAGGGATTACTATGAAGCATCTGCCCTCCAGCTGCCAGTCACAGAGCCATGTGCCTCTGCAGGATCTCCCCAGGAAAAGTTAGTACGGGACAGGAGGTGCAGATGCAGCATTGTCCGGTGGCCTCTAAATGAGGAGCTTTAAATGCAAGGGTTCGTGAGAGGGCTCAGGATCCCAGCTGCAGGCTGAGGCTCTGGATAATTATTTGTGATTTTCTTCCCTATCTTACCTGTGTCCTTCAAGTACGAAGCACAAAGCACTGTGCACACCGTGGCTGGTTTAGGAGTGGCCACCACGCTCTAGCGTGCGGTAGTGCTGTTGCAGGCCCAGGTAATACCCTCAAGGTCATGCATCCAGTGAGGGGAAGAGCTTAAACTAGAATCTGGGTTTGCGGACATTTGTTTCTTCCCTTCTTCATGCAGATGAAAATTTATTGCTTAATTTCTATAGTTGATGCTTAGTAAGAATTTGTTAAAGGAATGATGAATGAATGAGTGAATTGAATGACTAAGAGTGGTCAGAGATGTGCTTCGATATTCTGTTTCGTGTTCTCAGTTGTGACTATTGATTTTGTTGTTGTTGTTGAAGTTGCTTGCTTTACCAGCATTTGCCAGTGACCAGATTCCGCTGCACCCTGGCTTGTGAGGGCAGACACTTCCTGCTTGAGGGACAGCCAAGACCCTTGGCAGTGCAACAGCCCACACCCGCACACCCCGTCATGGTGGACCTCAGCGGGAGAGAGGTGGGACAGGCGTTTTATTTGTAGTCAAAGCTACTACTACCTCCCTGTCTGGTAGAATTTCTCAGAGGTGTTAATCGACATTTGCTGAGTTCTCTGGGTGGGGGCTGGATGGTACACTGTGTGAAGCCATGTTCAGCTTGCTCTTTGAGCACTTTTTAGACATGGCAGGGATGTGGGAAACCACAGAATCCTTTCCTTTTGGTTACCTGGACTTACAAGGGGGCATCCTGTTGCTGCTGATTTGGGCCAGGATCTCTCTTAAAAGACAGATGAGACTCAATTTAAAAGGCTTCCAGAAACTGCACAGCTTAGCCTAGAAGGATACCACTTTCACTGACTGTTCAACCCCTTAGGCTAAGCAATTTGTAACAGCTGAATTCCTTGAATTTAGAATCCGGAACTGCTACACCCCAAGGCATCTACCGCATGGCTTGGAGAACAGGTTGCTACAGGTCTTGGCCTTACTCCTTTCCCAGGAGTTCTTTGAGCCTCACAACCAAATTTAGACTATACTGATGTAAGAGTGGAGTTAGAAGTACAGTATGTCAAATAACAGTAGAAATACACAGCACAGCACCTCAAAATGAAGACACTGAAAAAAAACTTCCTCCACTATATTTTCGTTCTTTACTTTTTCTGTAATGTTCTGTTTTATACCTCTGAGGAAAATGAACATTTGAGGGATTAAATTTGCAAAATGAAAATATATATGGAATTAATTTTAACTGAACATTTAGATGTGCACACTTTTATAAACTATATGCCTAACATTGTGAAGGTAGCAGCTAAAGGATTTACATATATTTCTTAAGTATAGTCTTCAATTCACTTTATTTTATTAGAATTTGTGTTCTATGAAATAAACTTGATAAACTTGTTGTGACAAGTAAAACAGTATGGATATGCATAAAGAAAAACAAAATGGCCTTCCCTTACTCCATTCTAATACCAAGTTTGTGTCTCCCTGCCTGCCTGTCTATGCTGTGTGTGTGTACACGTACATACACTTACGTATATGGGTGTAGGTTTGTACATACTTACACATATACATAAAAATGCGCATACATACACAAGTACACATATATGTATGTGTTTGTGTGTGTATTTGTGTGTGTGTGTGTGTGTGTGTGTTACCCAGACAATGGGGAGGTACAGTGGAGAAGGGCTAACCTCCAGGAAATGATGCTGATGACTCATCAAGAGGTGGCCTCACCTTTGATTTAGCCTAGAGCCATAGCACTGAGCATGGCGGTTCATGCCTGGCTAATTTAAAAAAAATTTTTTTGTATTGGTGGGGTCTCTCTAGTTGTCCAGGCTGGTCTCAAACTCCTGGCCTAAACAATCCTCCTGCCTTGGCCTCTCATAATGCAGAGATTACAGATGTGAGCCACTATGCTGGCCAAAATCCACAACTTTTTGAGGGCCAACATAATGCTCAAAGGAAATGCTCATTGGAGCATTTTGTATTTTGGGATTTGAGATGCTCATCTGGTAAATAGAATGTAAATATTCCAAAATCCAAAAGAAGTCCAAAATCTGAAGCACTTCTGGTCCCACACATTTCAGATAAGATATATTCAACCTGTATAAACTTAAATTAATTAAACTTAAATGCAGTTTAAAATAAGTTCCTCAGTTTCACTAGCCACATTTTAAGTGCTAAGTAATCACATATGTCTAGTGGCCACCCTATTGGACAGCACAGATTATAGAATATTTTTATCATCACAGAAAATTCTACTGACAGTGCTTTTATAGACCCTTGTGCTAAAATTCAGAGACTTACAGAGTTAGAAGAGGCCTTGGAACTAATCTGATTTTCCTTCCTGTGAAAGAATTCTTTCTGCATTATCCTTGTTATGTGTTATATTTACTTAACCCTCTTTTGACTACTTGAATTGATGAGAGGCTCACTTGTTTTAGAGGTGGCCTGTTTGCTGTTTTATAGTTTTATAACTCTTTGGCTCTTTGTTCTGCTTTCTGGGTGAATTCCTCAAGACTCTTTTACAATACATAAATATTCTATTTCACTAGCTCTGGTCTGGAATTTATCCAGCTTATTGATTCAGTTTAATTTATACTTTTAATTTTAAAACTTTTTGATTGACTCTTTCTCATATTTACTTTTTCTTATCTTTTCTGCCAGTTTTTGTTTCAAAAATGTCATGTACTTTTTAGTGGAAGTTATTCCTTTTATCTTTTTGAATATCCTAAAGCCCGTATAGCCAGGTATATTTCAGAAATTAGGAATTTTTAAGATTTTTTAAAAAAGAACTTCTGCAGTGAGGTCTGGAGCAACACCCTGTAGTCAAACAAGTTAACCTTTCTCCAGCGAAAAGCATGACTAAGCACACCAAGACAGATACAGGAAGACTTTGTACAAAGACTTAGTTCAGGTCAGACTTTGCCAGCAAGTGATGATTGGTTAGGTTAGGTTTTACCATCACCAAAGTTACAAAACTGATTTCCTTTTCAGAGTGGGAGAATTTCAGATCACTGACCAGTACACTTAAAGTCTTTGACAGGCTATTCCATAAAATTCATCTTATCGGAAGTAAACTCATCTTCTAATTGATGATTTTGTTACCTTTCTCCGTAGTAGATTTCTTTATATGTTTGGAAATTTTTTTTGCAGGCTTATTGGCTTATTTCAAATGAGAGGTTTTTATCCCGTACCTCTTTCTCTACACCTGTTTCAGCCTAGCAGTTTTGCAGTGTCTTACCTAGTCCACAGGACCTTAGCCCAGAGCCAGCCACTACAATGTGTCCCTCTGTTGTTGTGATAGTGAGGACAGCACCGATTCAAATACTGAGCAGGTAGATGGCTTATCTCAGTTCCAATCATGAGGCCACATGTTTGATCTTTGGTTTCCAAATTCCAAACTTCTTATAAAGCCCTAACCCAGGTGGCAGATTGGCAGCAATATTGTTTTTTAGCTTCTTTTCATGATGGGATGAAACCCTCATCCTTGGCTTCAAAAAATGGGCCTGGATCTGGCCACTGTCTCTTATGGAGCATTTTTAGTTCTCTTTATTCTACATGAGCTGAACTACTGACCAAAACAGCTGCTTCCAGACCCAGAGGACAACAGGCCTGGGACTTAAGCCCCAGTGCCATTTTGAGTTTTTCTTTTATTTGTATTCTATGTCCCATTTACCTTTGATCCCAAATGTTTCTTTTTGTTTTTCTTTTAAAACGTTTTATCCAGAGTTGCTGTCCCTTGGAGCAGAAGAGCAAACATGAATTCTCTGTGTCAGCTGAACTGGAAGTCACCCATCTTTTAAAAATGCTAAATTCTAACCTATTTTTACTGAAATCCTTCTTTCCTCTCCCATGACTCAGACACTGCTCCATAGTTCTTCTCCCCTTTACAAAGAAACTTCTCCAAAGAATTGTCTGCACCCCTGTTTCTAATTCTTTCTATCCTGCTCACACCTCAACCCACTTCAGTCTGGCTTCCACCTCCCACTCCATTAAATTTTTTTGCCAAGGCTTCCAATGATATCCTTGTCACCAAATCCAATATGTATGTTTCGGTCGTCTGTTTAATTTCTTATCAGCTTTCAAAACTTGCTGAACCCTCCCCCATGTTCTAAAACACTCTCTTATCTTGTTTTTCATAATTTAAGAGTGGTCTGGTTCTCTTTCCACCTCTCTGGCTGCTTTGCCAAAATATCATTTACAGGCTCACTCTCCTGTCTAGCCACAAAATGTTAGAATTTGTCAAGGCTCAGTCCTAGGCCTTGTCTCACTGCTTTGTATTCTCTCTCTAAGCACTCTCATTCATGCCGTGTGAGACACCAGCTTCACACGCTTAACTCCCCGGTTGGCATGCCCGGTCCTACCTCTCCTTTTATATGCAGGGCAGCAGATCCATCTTCCATGTTGACATTACCTCTATAATGTCTCAAAGCCACCTTAAATTGCACTTCAATGTTCCCTATCTAAGTCGATTCTACTACCATCCATTTTGCTGCACAAACCACAATTCTTAGGGTCATCCATGACTTCTTACATTCTCTCCCCAACCAAAGCCAATCTATCCCCTAGTCTGTGTCCCAAACTGTTCTTGAAACTCTCCTTCTATCTCCCTTGTCCAATATACCATCATCTTTCAGGAAGATCTTGCAGTAGCCTCCTAGTTAGCTCACCCACATCAACTCTTGCCCACTGTACCTCCCCATTCATTCTCCATACTGTACTGATGGGAATATCTGATCATCACACCTGCCCTCCCCAACGATTGAAAGATTGCAGTACATCTCATTGCTCTTAAGACAGAGATCATTTTAACACCCCTTATAAAGCTTCCCTTCCAACCTCCCAATTTTATCAGAGCCCCTCTTGCTCTGTTCCTCGGTCCCTCGGGCCTGCCTTCAGACTCCTGGACTTGCAGTGTGTGGGACCCTACAGCCTTATGTGTTGTAGTGTAGCCTCCTACTGCAGGCTGTTCCCTCTGCCCAAATGCTCTTCCCTCCCCTTACATCCTGTTATCTACTCCTTGTCCTCCATGCTCAGCTAAGTTGCTTCTTCTTCAGTGAAGCCTTCTCTTCTCCCTCATCTCCCTGACCAGCTCAGGCCCCTGTCTTACACGTTTCCACAGCACCTCTGCAGAGCATTTATCACACATGTAATTTTACACAGTATTTGTCTAATTATCTAATTATTTGATTAAAGTCTGTCCGAGGGCGGAGACCGTGTCTGCCTTGTCTCCCATTGTGTGCCCATCACCTGGCTGGCGGACTGGCATAGAGTAGATATTCAGCAATTGTTGGTGGCCAAATCATTTGAATCCTCATTTTGACATCGGACTTGTTAGTTATCTTTCTTAGCTTTGTGTGAGCATCAGATTTGATAAACCCACCTTCCACGTCTTTATCCTGGAACATCAGTAACTAGGAGAGTGCAGTACTGTGCCACAAAACCAGAAAGATTCCTCTAGTTTGATGCTGGTTTTGTTGAAATTCCCCTTTTGTAAAGGTGAATAACTGATAAGAACAGCAAACAGTAAAGTTTCTGTTTGCCATCTTTTATGTCTTTTGTCGGAGTTTCTCAAAACCAGCTTTTACCATCCAATGGATTTTGATTTATTCCAACAAGTCTTCCAAAAATCAATCCTTAGGAATCAGAGTGGGCAGAACAGTAGAAATTTATAATAGAGTGCTGTGGTAGAACTGGCAGCCAATAATAACTTCTGGGAGAGAATATGGTATGTCATTAACCTGGGAGTGTTTCGTGATGGGATAAAGACAACCAAGCCCTTGTTTGGAGATGTCCAGGGGAGAAGTGCTGGCAATAACCTCTCCACGTGGACCAGTGGCAGTGCCATATTTCACTCTATAGCATACAGTCACGATTGGTGTGGATAATCCGCACTTTTTTCCTGAAGGAAGTTTTTCCATTATTTAAGTAATAGAAAAATCACTATGGAAAACAGCAGCTATGTGATTCAGAGCTGTTCAGAAAGAATAATGAATATGAATTTCCTGAAGCCAAGAAAAGGGGGGACCATTTTAATCAAGTGTGGTGAAGCTCACCTGGGCCTGAATTTCTGGGCTGAGGCAGGTCACTCTGCTAAGGAACGAAGTTCTAATATTGGCTCGGATATTAAATATGCACGCACACTTTGACCCAGAAATTTCACTTCTAGGAATGTTACAGACATATTAGCATAAGGATATACATATGGTAATGGTCAGATAGCATTGTATGTTGTTAGAGACAACCTAAGTGTCCACCAATAGGAGATTAGTTAAATAATTTTATATTCCTACTGTGGGATGCTAGGCAGCCATTAGAAAAATGAAGTGTATCTGTATGTGCTGATAAAGACACTTGAAATACCAGTAAGCAAAAAAAGAGCAAGTAATGGTAAAAAGCAATAATCACAATTATAATCATCAATGTTTTTTATAATGCTTATTTTCTGCCAAATACTGTTCCAAAAGCCCTACATGTATTAATTCATTTCATCCTCATAACTGTCTTAAGAGGTGGGCACTACCGTTATCCCCATTATACTGAGGCATACAGATGTTAAGTAACTTGCCCAAGCTCACACAGCTGGAGGAAGTCTGATTCCAGACCCCAGCCTCCTAACCAATAGGTGGTATGGTGGGGGCAGGGGACACTTTTCTTGTAAAGAACCAGATAGTAAATCATTTGGGCTTTGCAGGCCACATGTCTCTGTCATTGTAGTGCACAGGCATCCCAAGTTGCTATGATCACAGTTGTTCTTACAAAAACAAAACGTGTGTACATATTCAGGCATAGAAAATAGTCTGGCTGTATGAAAACCGAGCTAGTAATGATCATTATCCCGGAGTAGGGTGTGTGTGTCACTTTTACATTATTTCTATTCATATAATTTAAATTTCTTTTTTAAAGAACAAAGAGCCTCAAGGCACATTTCCATCCCTCTTATCCCCCATTGGTGATTCCTTTTTACTTCAAGTTTCGGTGTGTCTTTTACCTTGAGGGACAAGTGGCTAAAACATTCCTGGGAAGAAAGAATAAAAATCCCTGTGCTACATCGGGTTTTAGAAAATAAAAATACAGGACGCCCCATTACATTTGAAGTGCAGGTAAACAATGAATAATTATTTATTGTTTATCTAGATGTAAAATTTAACAGAGCACTATGTATTTTATCTGGCATCCCTCCTTATGGGACTGTATTTCTCACTAAGATGACATATAGAAGTACTTCCAGAGTGTCTTCTTAGCTCTTTTTTTGCCATTGTATATGTAAGTATATCCGGTATGTTTCACGTCTGGTTGACGGTCTGTCTGCTCGGCGTCTCTGACAGGTGGAATTGCATCTGCGGCTACGTGTGCCACAGGTTGGCCACTACGTGGTCATGCTCGAGTATTCCACGAAGGCAGCCCAGATGTTTGTGGTTGATGTGAGAGTGAAGAGCCCCGGGTCTGTTCTAGCAGGCCGGGCGAACATATACAGCTGCAAGTACAGGTAATCAGTCCCATCCCCGGGAACCCCTCTGTCACAGAACAATTAAGGAATATGCCTTAGCAACATTGGTTTTTATTTGCATTGGAAAGTCGTTTCCTTTTGGAGGAAGATCTTGAAAACTTGCAGGTGAACAGTGTTGTGGTCCAACACCATCCCCAGGGTGGGTACCAGGAATCTTCTCTGTTGGCAGCATCTTGAAAATGTTGCATTTTCTTAAACAGCTGTGTGCTATACCTGCCAACTCCGTTCAGATTCACATGAAGCAGCACAGCCTCTTTATTTGATTCTCTGTCCCTCTGGTGTGGGGCAGTGAACTCGGTGCTCTCAACTCAAAGGCTGTGCCAAGTACAAGTGTGCACGGCATCAGGAAAAGACTCGTTCTTGATAACGTGAGAAGGTGCACACCCACCTTCACAACACACCTTCAGAACTGGGGAATTCATCAGAATGTTCGATGATTGTCAAATGAAAAAAATGGACAAAAAGCTTTATTCTAAACAAATTCTAAAGGAGCTGTAACCAACAAAGGACTTAAAAATTTGCCCCAGTGAAGTTCTTCTCTTCCAAGAGCACTGACATGGGTTTATTAAAATGATTTTCTTTACGTAATATTTCAAGATACATGCAAATGTTCAGAGCATGCTTTTTTTTTTTTTCCCTTTTTTTTTTTTTTTTTGAGACAGAGTCTCACTCTTTTGCCTGGGCTAGAGTGAGTGCCATGGCATCAGCCTAGTTCACAGCAACCTCAAACTCCTGGGCTCAAGCAATCCTTCTGCCTCAGCCTCCCGAGTCGCTGGGACTACAGGCATGCGCCACCATGCCCGGCTAATTTTTTTTTATATATATATTTTTAGTTGGCCAATTAATTTATTTTCTATTTTTGGTAGAGACGGGGTCTCGCTCTTGCTCAGGCTGGTTTCAAACTCCTGAGCTCAAACAATCCGCCCGCCTCGGCCTCCCAGAGTGCTAGGATTACAGGTGTGAGCCACTGTGCCCGGCCAGAGCATGCTTTAATTAAAGAATCAGGTCAAGGGGTGTTTCCACGTGAAATTAATTGTATAATAAATGGCGCTGCAAGTTGGAGTCCCTTGAAACAGCAGGTGGAGAACCGCAGTAAATCTATCCAGTTTTTGGCCAACGCCTTGAACATTTTATTACCAACATTTCGTGTTGCTTTTTGTCAAACTCAAGATGACCTGAAGAAGTTGGACATTTTCCCTGTTGTGAAAATGAAAAAAACTTATGAAACGAGTTACTTTTTAGTAGCTTGGGATGGAAAATTTTATGAGACTTGATAAATGGTTATTGAATTAACACCATGCCCTCAGCATCCCTGCACAGCCGCTGTGAAGGCTTTGTCTCTGGGATGATGACAGAGAAACCAAAGGACATGATCGTATTTGGATTTTTAACAGGAACATGAGATGGGCCTAAAAGAGTTCCCCAGAATGTTCTGTCATTATCTGAAAATATGAGCTGCATCTATAGGTGACATCGGCAACCACTGGAATGGATACTCCCAGGTGGGTGGGTCACCATGTCACCGAAGGCCTGGAGACTGTCAGCCACAGGGTCTGGGGCAGGGCTTCTCCACACCACATCCATCCAAGCCCACCCCCCGGGGCAGCTCCTGACTCCTTCCCCCTCCAGATCCCATGGCTAAATTCCTGTCTCACAGCATATACAGTGGAGATGGCTAAGGGGACAGGGAGGAGATATTCATGATAATCCTGGTGACCCTCAGAATCATCTCAGAAGAGCTCTGAGAATATCCATGCCAAGGTGAGGAGTGATTTCAAAACCAAAGAAATAAAGGTCACCCTTACAGGATTCCGTGAATATTGTTTCATGACCGTTGTCTGAATGGAGTTATTGCGGGTGAACTGCATGTCACTCTGTAGATCATTTTGGCTCTGAACGTGACAACACCAAAGTTCTGCTTCACGAGTTTCTATCCTTAGAATCCCAGGATGGTATTGTATTAAACTATTGTATTTAACCATTCCCAGGAAAGTCCCATGGTATTTTTTTGCTAAAACACTTCCATTTCTCTTCCTTGCCTGTCATGTGGACAAGTGAAAATGAACAGACTACAAGTATGGGAGTCCAAAAAATATGGTACAATTGGAAAATATTTGACACATAAAAACCTATTTCAAATGACAGGCTCTTTCAACATTGCAGCATCTCCTGCTGAGGTTTCAACTTTCCCCAGCATTTCTCAAGTGAGTTCTAATGATGTTAAAAAATAATATTCTACCATAATAGCGGTGGTGGTAATAGAAACACCACTTTTCAAAATAGTGCTGTGGTAAATCAAATCTGATTTCCATAAGAAAGATAATCCTTAATGATTAAATCAATCCAGTTATTATTGTTAGTCTATTTCTCAGTAAGAATTAAATATAAGGATAAGGATAATGATAAATAAGTGAATTACTTAATATATTTAACTCCCAGGATTACGCTTGACTCCAAAAGGAATGTGTTTTAATGGATACACACACACACACACACACACACACATGCACACTCACAAAAGGGAAAGAAAAAATATATTAAGTTTCCAATATATGCCACAAATTGTGTTTGCCTCTTTATATTTTATCTCATTTTAATCCTCACCAAAAAAGTCACTGCCTAAATTACTACAAATATTTATCAGAGATGGCCATTTTGTTTTAATATGATGCTACTTCCAAATTATGTTTACAGACAGAAAATGCGCTATAGAATATGAAGTCAGAAATATACTAAAAAAAAACTTCCTTTATGAGTTTTACTGTCAGAGTAGTATTCTTTGATTTAAAACTGTGAACTTTTAAGTGTTTCTGAACTCTGTGTCTCACCTGATGTGATGGAGGGCAGGGACACCACTGGTAGAAATGAAGAAGGAAGAATGGTGAACAGACTGAGCTTTCAGAGGCAAATGCTGGGTGTCCCCCGACATCGAAGAAGGCCAGCCATGCTTACCGACTTGGCATGGGATGGTCACTGCAAGGCCAGTGGGTGACTTTAATTACAAATGCTCCTGAGAATACTGGCTGTATCTTAGAGATCTGCCATTACTGGCTCTGGGCCTCTATCTCTAGACGACTAAACCAAGTATTCCGTTAAGCCCAGTGGCAAATGAGAACGGCAGAGGGAAGGGTCTTTCCCCCACAGAGACTGTGGGCTGCATCCCTCTTCAACTCATCACGTGGAGAAATTCACTGTTGAAAATCCGGGTATAAATGGGAGGAACCAAAGAACAATCAGCCACCTCATAGGGAAGTGCAAAATGGGAGAGACTCTGGGACTCAGGCTAAGGAAACTCTTTCCCTCTTGCAGCTTCCTCTGCCGCAGCGCCGTGATTGACCGCACGAGCCGCATCGCCGTGTACGAGCTGTTAGCGGATGCAGACGTCCAGCTCAAGGCGCACACGGCCCAGTTCCTTCTGGTACGCTTCTGTTTTGCCTGTTGAGTTTTAGAAGCATTTTATTGATATCTGTATTTTTTAAAAGCTTTGGCCGGGATTACATCTATAAAATTATAAATGCAATCTATAAAACTAACCTGTGAAGAATTGCTAGTTTAATGTCTTTTCTTTCCATCTGGAACCTGACTTGTCCCTTTATTTGTTGGATCCTTTTTTGATACTGCCTCGTAGAGTTTAGTCATCAAGTTTAAACACATCTCACAAGTTCACATTTCATTAATTTTTATTCATTCCTACTATTATGAATAAAATATCTCATATTTCCTAGTTTGTTATTATTGCCAGAGTATAGAAAAGCCATTGGTTATTGTTTATTTTCTTTCCTGTTTTACTATTTTATTATCTCTATTAGCTTCTTGGTAAATTTCATCAAAATTTCAAAGTTTAAAATAACCTAATTTTTAAAAAAAACTCTATTTCAAAAAGAGTATTATTCAGTTAAGTAGATACATACTTAAGCATTAAAATACTGAGGATGGCAGGTTAAATGACCTTTGCGTCCTTCCTTGTAAGGCACAACTTGAACATTGAGAATTATGAAAAACAGAGGCAATGAGATCTGGCTAGGAAGGGGTGGCCAGGTTTACAATAAATCTCAGGGAATTTAAGATTATCTAAGGGTGAAGCAACTTCCTGTTACTGTTAATATTAAGCATGTATCACACCCAGGGAAATGCCAGGCCAGCCTGTACTAATGTGTTCTAAATATTTGTGGCTGACAGTATTAAAAACTTTGACCTTGCTCTTAAGAAGTAGCTGGAATTCAGTTTTTTAAAATTATCATTATAAAATTATAGTTCTTTTTTTAAATATAGAAATCCAAGTGAATCTAACCCCTTTGTCTTTGGAAATTATAATGGGGCTGAATTTTTATCATTTAAGCATAGGTTTGCCCTTTTTGAAAGAGTCCAATGTTAGTCAGAGTCAAGGCTGACCGAATACAAGCTCCATGAGGGCAGGAGCATTGTCTGTCTTGGACTTGGAAGACCCCCTAGTCTCAGTAGTGTTCAATAAAAATTTTTGTTGTTACTGGATAGCTTTGCAATCAAGCTGGTAATACATTTTTGATTTAAAATGAAATATATTGATAAATTAATGACTGAGATTCTTGCGAGACTCAAAAGCCAGCTCTGGAGACAGTTCCTTCAACAAAGTCCGAATGTGCCTGAGATACGAGTCATCCCATATTAGGAAGGGTCATGCGCAGCAGTGGCAGCCCTCTCTTTGAACAGCAGGCTCTCTGGCCACGTACCACATTTCCCCTCTTCCTGCCAAGGGTTCTGAAGAGCCAGCCTTGGCCCAGGAGAGAAAAAACAGGCACCAAAAGTTACTAAACAGAGTTGTTTCAGGACTTTCCTAGGATTTGGTTCTCAGTTCTGTTTATGTAATTATTCCAACAGCAATGTAGTCAGTGATCCTACCTAACAGTGAAAAGGATTCGTTGCACATACGATAGCATAGGACATTCCGTCCTGCAACATTCACTACTTTAAAGTAATGATTATGATTTTTCTGCATAAATTATTTATTTAATAGCTGTCTAAAAAGAGTGTGCTAGACCATGCCACTGATTTTGCTGATAACTGCGATGTGCCTTTTGCCTTGCATTTTCTCAATAGCATCAAATTTGTATCATACCCATTGAAGAATTCTCAACTGAATACGTGAGACCTCAAGTGCACTGCATTGCCAGTTATGGGCGATTTGCTAATCGAAGGTACTGTGTGTCCTTCCTCTCTCCCTGTTTGTGCTCTGAGGGATACTGTGATGCTTTTACCTTATACTTAACTTCAGAAATGATCATAAACCAAGGTGCTAAAGTCTGGTGATGGATTTAAAATAAAAAGCAAAGAAAAACCAGCTGAATAATTTAGCCCAGTGGTCTTTCCAGAATTCCATAAAATCAGGAAGCTGACACAGTAGCAGCTGGGGACGTGGATAAGCCCAGCTTTCAAGGGCTGGGACCCTGAGCCCTATTCTGAGCCCTGGAAAAGACTCATTTTGTCTCAATCCTTTAATCACTGTCTGCGGCTCTTCATTTGAAAAACCATGAAAGTAATGACCTATCTCACAACTATGTCATGAGAATGAGCTAACTAATGCTCACAGGGGTTTTGGTGAGGTTGTTTTGCTGTAGATTCAAAAACAATTTATAGACATGGGCATGAAATTCTGTGCTCATGGTTAGGATGATAGGAACCACCGAGACAATACAAATCTGGCTGTTGCTAAGAGAGATGCTGTTATTTTTTCTCTTTTATACAGTGTTATGTCAACATTTATGACAAGAGGTGAAGAATATTTTATTGCATTGATCTCATTTTAACAATTAATTTTAGTTCTGGAAAGGGAAGTCTCAGTAAGTTTCTTTCTAGCTTATTTACTTCAAAATTAGGATTTTCTTTCTGTTTTAGCTAGTTGTATTGTACAGGCAGCCGGAATACACTTGGCTAATGGACTACATGGGGTTACCCTTAGGTAAAGATCTCCAGAATCCTCTGGATCCTTTTGACCTTCCCATGGTTCTATGTGCAAAGTCTGTCTCTTCATTGATGGACAGTTGGTAGATTTTGGTTGATTTTAAAATATTCTACTTTTCAGTGCCACCTGTGTCTCCCAGGCCCACGAAACTCCTCCCATGGCATTAATTTTGGATGTCCCGAGGGGTGGTCCTGTCCCTCGTCTGCCCCAGGATCCTTCACCTTCTGCTGGTGTTGTGACTGGAGTCACCTTGAAGGCACCCCAGGTATGACTCCCCTCAAGGGTGCTGTTCCTAAACCAGGGGTTCTCCAAGTGTGGCCCCTGAAACAGCAGCATCCTCATCACTTGGGAACTTGTTAGGAGTGCAGATTCACAAGCCTCACCCCAGACCCACTAAATCAGAAGCTCTGGGGGTGGGGCCCAGCAATCTGTGTTTTAACGAACGCTCCCGGTGATTCTGATGCCCCTAAAGTTTGAGAACTTCCACTGTCTTTGGTGGAGAACCCCAGATATGCAGGTGTCTGGTTAATCCTGCCTGTGACCACCCCAGCCTGATGCATGCTTTCACTCATGAGCTCTGTCCACATGATCCACATTTTATCATTTGGCAATTTGTCAGGCCTCACGTCGTGAGACCTCATGTTTATGTGGGCTGCTGCTGCTTGACGTTGTTGAGTTTGTTAGTTTTCTTCCCAGGTTGGATCGTAAGGCTTTTAGAATAGTGGCTGATAAATGTCCTTATATGCCCCACTGCACCAACGTAGTACCTTGCAGCAGGAAATTCTCAATGAATGTTTGTTGATTAATCAGCTAGAGTGTGAAGGCGAAATATTATAACGAATTTTTTCACTGTAAACTACAAAATCACAGGGCTTTCTCAGTTCTGGATTATGGAAATACACTTAGTGTTCTGATATTAAAGGTTGACTATCCGTTATCCAACATGTTTGGGATGAGAAGTGTTTTATATTTTGAATTTTTTCAGATTTTGGAATATTTATGTTATACTTACCAGTTGAGAATTTCTAATCCAAAAATCCCAAATACTCCAATTAGCATTTCATTTGAACACCATGTTGACGCTCAAGAAGTTCTGGATTTTGGAGTATTTTGGATTTTGGTTGTTTAGATTAGGGATACTCAACCTGTATTAAGTCCTTGTAATCCCAAAGATGGTTCATGTCAGTTCACATTGCACTGAGTTTAGAAGTTAACAAGATCTGAGGGATAAAATTGATTAAGGTCCCATATAGGGAAAGTGGCCTGGAATAGTGGGGGGAGATGAATTGAAAGCAAGGTGCCAGAGTCAAGTTCTCATCTAAAAGGTGAGGATGATCTTTTGTTGTTATTGTTGTGTTGTTGTTGTTGTTGTAGTAGTTTTTGGAAGGATAAGGGATTTATTATTCACACAGGGAAGCTTTCTGGGGGGAGCAGGGCTCACACCCTAGCTGGAGCAAAAGGAGGACCATGCTCTCTGTTCTTTACTGTGTCTGGTGGGCATGGAGGGAGGGCTGGGCAGTCCAGGGAGGACTCCCTCTCCCATGGGAGTTGTGTGGTTTGAACTCCTCACCCCTGCCTAGGGAGGGAGGGGCTTTCTTATCAGCTTGTCCAGTGTGGGGCAGAAGGCAGGAGGGAGTAATGGGGCTTGACAACTGTCAGTGGGCAAACATCAAAAATAGAGTTGGGCCAGGTGTGGTGGCTCATGCCTGTAATCCCAGAACTTTGAGAGGCCCAGGTGGGAGGATCACTTGAGGCCAGGAGTTCGAGACCAGCCTGAGCAATATGGTAAGACGTTGTCTCTACAAAAAAATAAAAAAATTAGTCAGGTGTGGTGTGTCATGCACCTATATTCCTAGCTACTCAGGAGGCTGAGGCAGGAGGATCACTTGAGCCCAGGAGTTTGAGGCTGCAGTGAGCTATGATCATACCACTGCACTCTAGCCTGGGCAACAGAGCAAGACCCTATTTCCAAAAGAGAAAGAAAAAATGGAGTCAAGCTCTTTATTACATAGTTATTATGAGTAGTACTGCTATGAACATTCTTGTACAGCCTTTTGGCAAAATATATGCATTTCTGTTGGATATGTACTCAGGAGTGCAACTGCTGAGTTATATGTTTGACTTTGATAAATATTAGGTTGGTGCAAAAGTAATTGAAAGTTTTATCTTTGTTGAAATTTGCCATTTGATGTTGGAATAGATTCTTAAATAAATGTGGTTATGTTATACATCACTTTAATGAGCATTTCTCACTTTATTTTTTTTGCTAATGACTTATTACTTGCTGTTTATTTTATATTTATTTTATACTATGGAAATGATGTTAAGCAAAAAGCAAATTCGAGCGATTTTTTTATTCGAGTTCAAAATGGGTCGTAAAGCAGTGGAGGCAACTTGCAACATTAACAACGCATTTGGAACTGCTAACGAATGTACCATGCAGTGGTGGTTCAAGAAGTTTTGCAAAGGAGATGAGAGCCTTGAAGATGAGGAGTGCAGTGACCGGCCATTGGAAGTTGACAACGACCAATTGAGAGCAATCTTCGAAGCTGATCCTCTTACAACCACACGAGAAGTTGCCAAAGAACTCAATGTCAACCATTCTATGGTCAGTTGTTCAGCATTTGAAGCAAATTGGAAAGGTGAAAAAGCTTGATAAATGGGAGCCCCATGAGCTGACCGAAAATCAAAAAAATCGTCGTTTTGAAGTGTCGCCTTCTCTTCCTGTATGCAACAACGAACCATTTCTTGATCAGATTGTGACTTGCAAAGAAAAATGGATTGAATACAACCACCAGCGACCACCAGCTCAGTGGCTGGATGGAGAAGAAGCTCCAAAGCACTTCCCAAAGCCAAGCTTGCACCCACAAAAGGTCATGGTCACTGTTTGGTGGTCTGCTGCCGGTCTGATCCACTACGGCTTTCTGAATCCCAGTGAAACTGTTACATCTGAGCAGTGTGCTCAGCAAATCAATGAGATGCACCAAACACTGCAAAGCCTGCAGCTGGCATTGGTCAACAGAAAAGGCCCAATTCTCCACAACAAGGCCAGACCGCACGTCGCACAACCAGTGCTTCAAAAGTTGAACGAATTGGGGTACGCAGTTTTGCCTCATCCACCATATTCACCTGACCTCTCACCAACCGACTACCGCTTCTTCAAACATCTCTACAACATTTTGCAGGGAAAACGCTTCCACAAGTAGCAGGATGCAGAAAATACTTTCCCAGAGTTCCTTGAATCCCAAAGCATGGATTTTTATGCTACAGGAATAAACAAACTTACTTCTTGTTGGCAAAAATGTGTTGATTGGGGCCGGGTGCGGTGGCTCACACCTGTAATCCTAGCACTCTGGGAGGCCGAGGTGGGCCTGATTGTTTGCGCTCAGGAGTTTGAGACCAGCCTGAGCAAGAGCGAGACCCCGTCTCTACCAAAAATAGAAAGAAATTAATTGGACAGCTAAAAATATATAGAAAAAAATTAGCTGGGCATGGTGGCGCTTGCCTGTAGTCCCAGCTACTCGGGAGGCTGAGGCAGTAGGATTGCTTGAGCCCAGGAGTTTGAGGTTGCTGTGAGCTAGGATGACGCCACGGCACTCTAGCCCGGGCAACAAAGTGAGACTCTGTCTCAAAAAAAAAAAAAATAATGTGTTGATTGTAATGGCTCCTATTTTGATTAATAAAGATGTGCTTGAGCCTTGTTATGCTTTAAAATTCATGTCCAAAATAGCAGTTACTTTTGCACCAAACTATGCTACCAAACAGTTGTCCAACAAGATGTACCAAATTGCCCTCTCCAACAACATTTGTGGTTGTTCCACAGTTTGTTTACCCCTTCTACGGGGTGAGAGATATTTGGTTTGTTTCCAGTTTTTGTGATTACAAGTACATCTGCTATAAACATACATGTGAAAATTTCTGTGTGAATATAGATTGTCATTTCACTTAGATAAGTACCTAGGTCGTTTTGTCCTTTAATCTTTAAATACTCTGTGATTCCAATTATTCTTAGCTCTTCAGCTTGAGGTTTTTGTTTTTGTTTTTTTTCTCCTTTTTTCCTCTTAGAATGAAGTGACCCTGAGAGGACTGGTACCACACCTGGGCCGATACATCTTCGTCATCCACTTTCATCAAGCGGCACATCCGACGTTTCCCGCACAGGTGTCGGTGGATGGAGGGCGGCCGCGGTCAGGTGAGCTCAGGTCCCGCTAGCCTGCCCGCCGCATTCTCGTAGTCATGTGACAGGAAGTCCTCTCTCTCTCCCAGGTTCCTTCCAGGCCTCTTTCTGCCCCCATGTACTTGGCTGCCGGGATCAAGTGGTCTCCGAAGGCCAGGTGGAGTTTGACATCTCAGAGCCTGAGGTGGCCGTGACTGTGAAGGTTCCGGAAGGAAAGTCCTTAGTTCTGGTGCGTTCTGCTTGTGCCTCAACTTGCTTCTCCCATGGCTGCCTTGGTCAGCCATTCTTTGTGCCTGTGTGGCTCATGGTCATAATTCCTCCAAGGAGTTGAAGTCAAATATATAGAAAAATGTTTAAATTTTACAGTATCTTTTACCAAAAAAAGAAGGAAAAAACCACGTGATAATTAAAGTCCAGGGAAATGGGATTGATCGAGAGCGAGTGTCTCTCCTCTCCACTGGCCCCTGCTCATGCCTCACCTGGCTGGTCTCTCTCGGAAGCATCTAACACTCCTTTCTTTTGGCTTCTACATGTGTTTTCTCAGTTTTCTCCCACTATTTCTAGTGCTTCCTCGGTGGTTTCTCTTTTCCCCTGTCTCCGTATGTAGAGTTCCCTCGAGTTCAACACTGAACTCCTTGTATTTTTTCTTTGTGGATACGTCACCTGCACCCATTAATGCTGTCCTCTCCTCTGTGGGAAGGACGCCCAGATCTGTAAATTCCTTTCTGATCTTTCCAGAACTCCAGGCCCAGTGTGTGACCGCCTGCTGTGTACCTGCACAGCTAGAGACTGCACAGCGCCTCACACGCAGCCTGCTCCCTGCTCCTGGTGCGCCCCACCCTGTTCACTACCATGATGATGGGACCCAGCACCAGGGGTCTCACTGAGCCCTCTTCTCCACCTGCTCTGCTACCACAGCCTGGCACCATGTGCCATGGGTGCACCTCTGCCACGTCTCTTTCAAGCATCTCTTCCGTTCTGGTTCCATCGTTCTCCTTGATCCTCCTCGCAGACAGGCGGGGCCAACCACCTGCCATGGTCTCTCTTATTCCGTCCCATCTCCATGTCTTGGCAGTGACCTACCTGATCGAAGAGCTCAGAGCATGCCATGCGACTCCCCACCACTGATGGGATACTGTTCGTGTGCTTCCCTCGGATCCACATGCTTCACTCTGGCATTCAGGGCCCTCACAACCTCTGTCTAATTCATCATTCATTCTCCTCTCCTGTCATTCCTCTGCTCCAGGGCTCCCTTCTCTGGCCATGCTAACCCATGCTCAAGCCCGTGGATATGCCATTTCCTCTCACGCCACCAGGCTTTCTCACGCTGTCCCTTTTTCTAACACTTCGGCCCACTTCTCTATCTGGAGAAATCCTGCTGACCTATGCACCCAGCTCAGAATTAATTCATCTTCTCTGCAAAGCCTTCCAGGGAGCCAGGCACCATTGCCCAGGCCCTGCCCTGGTGCCCTCCAGTTCTGTGCTGTGCCTCCTCGGCCCTCTGAGGATGTCATCTTCCTGGGAGCAGGGTCCTGACTAGTCATTTTACATCTCGTGTGCCTGGAACACTGCCTTAAACATGAGGCTTTGCAAATGTTTATTGCATTGAATATCATGAGGGCAGTAAACTCTCTGTGAGCCGTAAGCTGGTGTGCAGTTGATGAAGATGTTTGAAAATTTCTGCAGCATTTGCTATAGACATAGTCTGATTTACACAGGTAGAGGGAACCAAGTAGTACTTTTAAAGACTGGGGCTGCAGTTATTCATGATAGAGTACCAGGTATGATGTAAACTTCAAAAGCAAGCCAGGGCATTGTTCCTGCCTCTTCAGTTTGCTCACCTTTAAAAATATAAAACAGCAATACCTAGAGATACAGGGGACTCCCAGGCATGGGTCACAAAGGCCCTGCTTAACCCCAGGTCCCCAACCCAGCCAGTGCTGAGGGTTGCTGTTTCTCTGAGCAGGTCAGGGGTCTGCTTAGGTGCTCACTGCTGTCTGCGCAGCAGTGTGGATTGAGCCTCTAACCCTGGCTTGTGTTTGCGCTTGTGCTTTCATAAATTCTGATTCATTTGGCCTTGGACTTAATAATAGAGAGCATTGCTCTTGGTGAAGAGAAAGTCCAGGTTGAGTATTCCTTATCTGAAATGCTTAGGACCAGAAGTGTTTTGGATTTTCATATTTTGGAAATATTTGTGTTATTCTTACAGGTTGAACGTCCTTGATTTGAAAATCTGAAATCTGAAATGCTCCAAGGAACGTTTCTTGTGAGCATGACCTTTGAGCATCATGTCGGCGCTCAAAAAGTTTCAGATTTTGAAGCATTTTGGATTTTGAATTTTTGGATTAGGGCTGCTCAGCCTACATGCTGAGTAGCCTTAGGTGTGCCTGTCATTGGAAATCCAAAGGCATGCTGATGGGTTTCTTTTAGGTCCGAGTTCTAGTGGTGCCTGCAGAGACTCATGACTACCAAATACATCACAAAAAATCAGTGGACAAGTCATTGGAGTTTATCACCAATTGTGGAGGAAACAGTTTTTATATTGAGTAAGTGTTCCTCTGTGGGGAGGCTCTGGAATGCATGGGGCACTCCCACATTCCTGATGAGAGCGAGGCCCAGGGAGGGGCTGGCCCTTGGTTCTGTCTTCTTCCTCTCACCACCCAAGGGAGTGGCAGTGAGTCTGGGTCAGGGGAGGAAGACACTTCCTGTGCACTGGCCATCCTCCGACAGACCTCACCATGCGCCATCTGGGAACAGGGACCGCCCTCAACTTTGAACTCAATGGAGGTCCTCCCTCCAGGCTGGATTCGGGGGCTGATTAGGAGTTTCTCTTCCTCCTTGCTGTTTCCTGTTTCCCTGGAAGATTCCTGAAAGACACAAAACAAGGCGGCCTCCATTGGGAAAGACTTCAGTCCCACTCCCCCTTGGCCATCTGACTAGTGGGGAGTGTCCAGAGACACGACCTCCCTGCCATCTCTTCATGCACCCATGAAGGCCAAGAGCTGGGGCAGCCCTGAGCATCAGCTCCTGCTGTTCTCTTCTGAGGAACCACTGCCCCTGGCCCCTCGCAGGTTTCCTGGGGCACCCAGGGGCTCTGGGGGCCCTGGGAGACAGCCGCCTCCAGTGTGGCGGATCTTCAGAGCAAAGGCTCTGACAGCTGTGGCTTAGGGCCTGCTCAGCCACGCCAGAGCTCTGCAGCCTTGGGAACTCGCTCAGCTTCCAGGAGCCTCAGTTGTCTTATCTGTGAATTGGGGCTTGGGCCCAATAGGTTGGGAGGTCATGTGAGGTGTAGAGAAGGCCTCCGGCACACGACATTGAATGAATGTTGGTGATTCTCCTCTTCATTATCTTTGGTTGAGTTTTATTATTACATGTACAGGTGTATTTTTTGGGGGTAGATGCTTTATTGAGGTATAATTCACACACCATAGAGTTCATCTTTTAGGTGTATTTTCACCCTTTTATTCCAGCCACCTAAGTTCCCCCTGACCAGTCCTGTGATGTCTCCTCCTGCGGGGGACACATGGGCTGAGTCCGGGTGGGGTGTCTTCCCACTGTTCCCAGACTGCAGAGCCCCGAACCCCTCCCAAAGTCACTGCTGGTGGAGCAGGTGGTGCAGGGAAGGTTGGAACCGTTCCAGGCACACCTCCCAGGGCATCACCACGACTCGACTCGTTTCTGTCTCCACAGCCCCCAGACGGCCTCCGAATTCTGTAAGAATTCTGCCAGGTCCCTGGTGGCCTTTTACCACAAGGGTGCGCTTCCTTGTGAGTGCCACCCTGCTGGGGCCATCAGCCATCCCTGCAGCCCTGAGGGTGGGCAGTGCCAGTGCGGGCCCAACGTCATTGGGCGGCAGTGCACCCGCTGTGCCCCGGGCCACTACGGATTCCCACGCTGCAAGCGTAAGTGCACGTCCTGGGCTCCCGAGATCTTCTCTGGTCCTGTGTGGAAGATGCCCATCTGGGCAGATGCTCATTCTAGACTTTCTCTGTGCTGGATACTCAGCTGGAGAGCTGTGCAATGCAGAATCTGGTTCAGGAGATGTGGGCGGGGGCCTGAGACTCTGCATTTCTAATAAACACCCAGGTGATGCCTATGTTACTGGTCCATGGACCACAATCTGAGTAGCAAGGTCCTAGAAGATAAGTGTTTGTGACTCCCAGGCCGTGTGAACTATACATTTGGCAAAGCAGGTGAGTATAAATAGTCTTACACGTCAGAGTCTTGGACAGCTCAGTCCCTTACAGTGGAAGCCCAGCCAAAACTCAGTTGAGATAGGAGAGCCGGGGTCACACAGGTGTCCTACTCACATGAGAGGCCCTCCGACCTTTGTCTAAGAACTTTCCTGTGGCCCGAGGTGTAGGGTGCCCACTTTATGTGGTAGCAGTGAGGAATGCAGAGTCCCCATGTGGCGACCACCCTTTGCCTGTACGAGGGAACGGGGGCCCTGCTGCTGCGTCCTGCCCTGACCCGGGGCTCTGGACCCACAGTGCACTGGGGTGATGTGGATGTAGAGCCACTTCAGGGAGCCCGTGAGCATGCCCCTACCTACTTCCAGAACCCCCTGGTGGACAGAAGCCCCACATTAAGATGGCACACGGCGGCCCTTGGTTGGCTCCTTGGAGTATCCATCCTGGAGCCAGTCGGTCCAGCTGTGCCTCATTCTGCATCCACACGCTGTATCTAGGGGTTTTGGCCTCAAGAAATGGGCCTTTCAGATCAAAACCTTTCTCCCAGACCTCTTGGAAGCTTCTGGAAATTCTGGCAGTAGGTGCAGTCCTACTGGAGACCAGGCGGCATCTAGCCCTCACATGGTGTCTCTTTATTCCTTGGCCAGCGTGCAACTGTGGCCGGCGCCTCTGTGAAGAGATGACGGGGCAGTGCCTCTGCCCTCCCCACACGGTCAGGCCCCAGTGTGAGGCGTGCGAGGCGCACTCCTTCAGCTTCCACCCGCTGGCTGGCTGTGAAGGCTGCAACTGTTCCAGGAGGGGAACCGTCGGGGCTGCCACCCCACAGTGTGACCGGGACAGTGGGCAGTGCAGGTGAGCTCTGGTGGAGTAGCCTGCCGGGTCCCATCACAGGGGTGGGGCATAAGATGCCATCTGTCCACACTGGCTGTGATCACTTCCCATTCCCCACTTGTCCAGGAGTGCCTGGTGTTCACCTGGGGGTGAGCTTCCCAGTCAGGATGTGTTGCAGTGGGTGGAGGGATTGGTCCCCTCAGGCTCAGGGTAGCCAGACAGAGTCTGGGTGGGCGGATCACCAGCTGCCCTGGCCAGAAGCAGCCTTGCCCATTTACCCCAGTGTGTTGTCACGATAGGATCGCGTTCCCTGTGTGCCACGATGCAAAAGGTGGGGAGGTGCTCCACATGCGTAATTAAGTTATCAGTGTCCTCTACTGTGAGGCCTGGTGGTGAGCACCTGTCCATCTGTGCGCGTTGGCTCCAAGCCCTCATCTAGGGTTAGCTGGCAGTGTGTTGAGGACAGTGAATGACAGTCTACAATCCTTGGGCTGGAAGGGGAGCTGAGGCCTCCACAGTGGGCCTTGGTTAGGAGTGGGAAGGGAGGCTGGGTGGCAGGATACGCACTGGGGAGCCTGAGCTCAGGGTCGGGGGACTGCCCTTGGAGGACCATTGAGGAGTCCAGTGCATGAAGCCAAAAGACAAGTGGCTCAAGCAGATGCTGTGCTGCTCAGCGGTTTGGTTCCCGGCCTTAGCCCTGCACTGGGAGGTGGAGGCCCGTGTCTCGTGCATGGTTCCAGGTGATGAGCCTGATCCCTGCAGGGCCAGACAGTGGCTGTAGGGGCAAAGGCCAGGATTCAGTTCCTGGAAGAACAGGCTGGTAAGAATTAGACTGGGGGTCATATGACGGGAACACTGAGCCAGAGCTTCCGGGGTCCAGGCCAGTATGGCAGTATACAGGGGAAAGCGTGAGGTTCACCGTCCAACCTACACCTCAGCATAGAGGTGCAGCCCAGGCACATGGACATTACTGGGGCTGTGGCCTGTGATTTGGTGTGAGAACCAAGAGGGGCTGTAGCTGCTGGTGACGGGCCTCAGTGACCCCAGCTTGAGGGCAGATGCGTTAGTTGCCTACGGCTGCTGTAACAAATGACCACAAAGTGCGTGGCTTAAAATGACAGAAATTTGTTCTCTCACATTTCTGGAGTCAGCAGGGCTGGCTCCTTCTGGAGGCCTTGGGAAGGATCTGTTCCATGCCTGTCTCTTAGCTCCTGGTGAGGCTGATATTCCTTGGGTTTCCTCGTCTTGTGGCTGCATCACTCCAGTCTCTGCTTCCATCCTCACATGCTGTTGTCCCTGTGTGTCTCTGTCCTCACGTGGTGTTCCCTCTGTGTGTGTCTGTGTCTCTTCTCATTTTCTTATAAGGACACCTATCAGACTGGCTTAGGGCCCACCTTACTGTGGTATAACCTCATCTTAACTTGATTACATCTGCAAAGACCCTATTTCCAAACAAGGTCACATTCTCAGGCACTGGGGTGTAGGGCTTGGACATATCTTTGGGGGAGGCACCATTCGACTCTCTATAGCAGTGGTGTTCACTTTTCCTACGGATGGGCCTTAACCACGCCTTGAGCTGCTGCCTGGTGCCTACCAACTCTTTTCTACTACTGGGACCTTGTAAGGAAGCTGGGAGAAAACCCTGAGTTACAGAACATTCTGAGTCTTTAAAACCACAGGTGTGAGTCCTGCTTGAGTCAACTCAGTTGCTCAGGGACCAGATGTGGGTCCCTGAGGGCATACCCATGTCATCATAGGAAGCAAAGGAGCCAAGAGGGATGAAGAGAAGCAGGAGAATTCACTGTCTCAGAACTAGTGGGAGGGAGTTTTAAAAGGGACTAGTTTGTCGACTGGCTAAGTCACTGCAAACAGAACTTCACGCATAGTTTCTCAAGGCCGTCGCCACAGAAAAAGAAAACCAAGAATGTTATACAATTTTTAACATCAGTTAAGGCAGCAGGAGGTAATGGATAGATTTACCATAGGGTTTTATGTAAAAACTCTAAGGAGTTTTGAACAAACCTTCACTGCCAATGACAATTTAATAGCTTGGAAAATTCCTTGCTCAGGACTGCCGCATGCCTACAGTTTTGTCCAAACCTGAAAGCATCAACAGGAATGGAATCTTATTGACTTGTATCACACTTAAACCAAGACGTGAAATTGTTTACTTTGACATTACCAAAGAGACTGTAATAACCTAATGGGATAACATATCTATGCATGATCAAAGTGGATTTGTCATAGAAGGGCCTTGGTAGATAATGTAAGAAAAACTTTCAGTTTATTACATTACTATAAATTGCACAAATTGTCCATGATAATTCCAGTGTAAATAGTGGAAAGGCTTTTGATTGCCTAAAAGGATGATTTCTTTATAAAATGTTAGAGAAAAGGCTGCTTTTTCTCCCCCAGAAATTTCCTAATGCAGAGTATGTTTAAATAAACCTAAAGCTCAGTGAAAGAACTAACCAGAGATACCCGGAATTTTCATAAATAGAAAAACATATCCTTTTTCAATTATACAACCAACTCTTTTGCAGTTGTACAAATTATCACAAATTACAAAGCTGAAAACTTGGAATTTTCAAATTGAACTTGACTACTTACACGTGTTCAAATCTTATTCACTAAAAGAAAATCAAACTGATATAAATATTAATCTACTTTAAAATGAATTATGAAAATAATTCCAGAAACCCACAACACTCAGTCTTTACTTAATTAAAATTGGTGTTGTAACTTTAGAGACAATTGGGAATAAATTAAGATGGAACCATAAAATTGAGTTCTCAACTCACCTTTTTCATGTCCCAGCTAGGAGACTTGGGCCAAGTCATTTTGCTTTCCTGGGTCTCAGTTTCTGAATCTGTAAAGTGAAGTTAAATAAAATCATCTCCAACGTCCCATCTAAATTTAAAATTCTGATTCTATTTCTTCTTCAATCTCTGATTGTATCACAGACAATATTGCAAGATTATATTGTATAAATACCAAAAGGTCTATTATTTTGGCCAACCCTGTTAGATCAAGATCATAAAGATACTTATCGTGATGAAAATTTCGTTTTTATAGCAACACAAAACAACAAATATATATATTTAATCGAATATAATAGGGATGAATAAGTTTGTATATGCTTTTAATAAGGGAAGATGTATGCCATCAGATTCTTTGAACAAGCAAAAGGTCTCTGCAGAAGATTTTATCAATCTGTGACAGTTCCGAGGAACATGGGGGTCACTGCTTTTAAAAGCTGTCATGATGTTGATCACTTTCAGGCTATTTTAAGATTGATTAAAGGAGACAGCAGTCCGCCCAGACAGCCAATGAAGCCACATGTACAACGTGCCTTTTCCGAAGAGTGGTAGCAACAGGAAAGCCTTTTGGGATGACCTCTGTCTCTGCTAGTCCTCACGGATTTACTAAGTGTTTGTGTTAGATGGAGAAATTAAATGCCAGCAAAGGTCATAGACTTGACATTCTTGGAACAGAAGTGCTTCCAGCGAGCATAAATCCCTGAGCCCTAACAACTTGGAGAGGAGATTCCTCTGATGCACCTCCTTGAATAATTGGAATGGGGCCAGCCAGGCAGCCCCTGGGTGCTGGGACATGGTGGTGACATGGTAGTGACCGCCACACAGAAGGACCTGCATTCCCTCTGTCGTCCTCATCCCCTGTGACACCAGTGTCCTCTCATCTCTCTGAATGATCCTCCTCTGGCTGTTTCACTGGCTCTGTTTCTTCCTTCTGTCCCCAGATGGGGAGGAGACGTGTGGTGTGAGTTTGCACGAGGCTGTGTCCTATTTCTGTGACCCGCTATCTGGGTGACTCAGGCATGGTACTTCTCTCCCTGGGCCTTAGGTCTTCATCCATAAAATAGGGCTCCTGGAGACACCCGCCTCATAAAGTTCTTTAGAGGGTGGAATATCCTATGCACTTAGAACAGTGCCTGACACACAGCACACACCCAGAAGTACTAGCTGCTGGGATTATTTGCGGAGGTTATGGCTGTCCGCCTTCCTCTATGCTGTCCCACCCTTTGTCCCAGCTTCAGTCACTCCACTCCTGGGTGATTCCCAGTCCTCACCCCGGATGGCTGTCTTATCCCACCTTCTTTGCAAATCGGTTCAACCTGTGTTCTCTTATTGGCTTTACTCAGGTAGCCTTGGACAAGTCTCCTGAGCTTGTTGGGCTCCTTTCTCCTCACATGTGTAATGAAAGGTTAGATTGGGTGATCTCTAACTCCGAAGTTCTGCAACTCCAATCCTATCTCTGAAACCCATGTCATTGTCTTGCCTTTCAAGCTATTTCTCCCTTTGGATTAAAAAAAAAAAATCTACTTAGTGATGACACCGTCTTTCCAGTCCTCAAAGCCTGAGATCTGAGAGTCATCTTAGAAGCAGCGCATTTTCCCTGCTGCCAGTCAGGTGTCAACTTCCAGCCACGGCCGGGTTATCCCCTTCCTTTCCATGGCTCTCTGCTGTCGGCCACCGCCCTGTAAGTCCTTTACCACCTCGTGTTGGGATGGTATTGGTGCTTTCCTAACCCACCTTCCTTTTCCTGGTTTACTCATTCATTCATTCATTCTTTTTTGGCCCCTTAATCTAAGAGGAATATGCTAAATACACAATTATACTAGGATTTTAAAATCTGTTTTCCCCATAATTTTGTCACTAATACATGGGACTATTTATCTATAAAACTTGAGACAATGTTGAGAAATGCATATGTGTTTGATTTTTCTTCTTTTTTTCATGATTTTACCTTCTTTTTTATTATTTTTATTCTTCTTGGCATGTGATTTTTTTTTTTTTTGTTATTTTAATGAGGATGAAATGTCTCCCTCAGTTCCTTCTGAGGTTTTTTGGGGGATTATTTTGCCTTAAATTCTATTTTGTATGTGTTTTTTTGCTTGAAGTCTATCAAATACCTATTCCAGTTTGGGTGCTGTGCTTCATGTGGAAGGCACCTGTCATTGGTGTCTTCTAACCAATAATGACAGTGCAGTGTGGTGATTGCCATATTGCGGGTGGGGTGCTGTGGCGACACAGGGCTCTGCACAACACCACTTCCATACACATAAAGACCAACTTTCCTTGGTAATCTGTCCCCCATGTGCCGTAACTTAGCCTTTGTTTCTTCTTTCTTCTCTGGCTTGGTTTTCTCACTTCCTCAAAACACTTTTTGCACATGTTCGGTTCTCCAGTTATGAAAGGCCTCCCTCCTCCCCGTCTGCTAGCCCCAAAGTATACCTGTCCTTCAAGGATTTTGTGTTGAAAATACGAACTCAAAGGAGGCACAAAGCCTTCTACAAGTCTACAGAGATACCCTCATTGTGTGATTGGCCAGTGCTTAGCTTAGCTGGCTCAGCTCTTGGTGACACATCTCTAGGTCCTGTGTCCTCAGCGAGAATATGCCCAAGTCAAGACAGACTTACTCTACACTATCCCTTACCTCCATGTCCCCTAACACGGGTGTGGACATAGAAGGCACCCAGGAATTCATGAATGAATAAGACAGACTTTGGGTTCTAGATTAAAACTAGAGTTTGACGTGGGTGTAATATGAAGGGTCTTGCGGTGTTTAATGACCAGAGGACAGAGTGCACCCTAACGCAGCCGGGCCTGGTTTCTGAGACACGGGGCAAGCATCCACACACACGCAGGTGTTGTTGCATAACATCTGGCCGCAAGCCCGTGGCTGTGGAAGTGACTTTCTTGGGCCTGCTTCCCCGGAGCTGCCAACCTGCACCTCCCGGCAGCACCAGCAGCAGCTGACAGAATCTTCTTGCTTTTGCAGCAAGGGCGGCTCCTTGGAGAACAGAGAGTCTCCCTGGAGAAAGTGCCAAGTCAGGCAGACTGGAGGTCATTTTAAAAGATGTTCAGCCAGACTTCGAAAAGGAAGTTTCCTTTTTCCTCCGTGCTGTCATGGCACCACCACAAACTGCTTTGGTTTCTTGTTTTTGGACAGGATTCATATGATCAATGATCTAAATATTGCATTACTCAGGACTATAGATATTATATCCTCCAAGTTTTGGTGAACCCTGGCCTCTCAGCCCCAGCTGGGCTGCCCAGGGTCCTGTTCACAGCCCACTGCTCCCATCGCTCTGCTCCGAGCTTGCTTTTTCTCACCAACTCGTGTGCTCTCAGCTGCTGCTGACATGCCGAGTGAGGCTTGGGGCTCAGTCCTTTATTACTGACGGGTCGCGCCTACTCAGCCCACTCTCCACTACACCCCATCATCTCACCTACGTTCTAAAGTAAACAGGCAGACCAGTCAGGATTTTGCATCCCCTCTTCCTTGTCCCCTAACACAGGGGACAAGCAGCTTCCACAGCTGCCCTTGCTGTAAAAACTCCTGTTCCTTTCTTTTCCAGTGAAGTGGAAATATATATATATATATATATATATTTTTTTTTTTTTTTAAAGGACTCCTGTCTGTGTGACCTCACCTTCCAAGTCCAGGTCCAGGTCACCTGCTCAGAGAACACTCTGAGCCCATGTCAGGTTGGCACTTCATGATGATAACACTGTCCCTCTGTGCACGGTGTTCTTTCCTCCGCTGCCAGGCGAGTCATCTCCAAAGGCCCTCTCTGTTCTAAGCTTCCTCTCTCTGTTGCTTTGTATCTGGGGAGGGGTTATTGGTACTCTCTTCTTTCCCATCTCTAGACCACCAGAGCTCTCGTGCTCCACACTCGCTGACTCTCCAGAAATAAGCAATCATCCGGGGACAGGCTTTGTGTTTTTCTGCTGGACGCTGATTGCACGTAGGCTGAGATTCACAGGAGAGCAGGTGCTATTAACCTGGGCCCCTGGAACCCTCTGATAGGGACTGTCAAATTGTGTGTATATGAGAGCAAGTGTGTGTGTGTGTGTGTGTGTGTGTGTGTGTGTGTGTGTGTGTGTGGTGAGCACTTTTCTGAGAAGATGGCCCATAGTTCTACTAGCTTCCCCGAAGGGCCTCTGATCCCCACCCAAGGTTTGCAGCCCCCTGCGCTAGAGTGATCCACTTCAAGCAGACCATTTACACTCTACACCTACATTGCTCTAGGTCTGGTTGAGGATACTTCCTTTCTTACAAAACAATTTCTGCAGGTATCAGGTAGGGGGAAAGATGAGAGGGATGGGGCCGGAAGAACTGAACTGCTATTCGCCTTGCCAGGAGGTCTTGCCGGTAAAGACGATTTGGTCCTTTTAGGTGTTTGGAGTGGATAGAGGATACCCATCTGCTCCCCTTGGCCAACACAACAAGAATAACAATAGCAAGTATTATATGTGTGCAAGGCACTGATCTAAGGTCTTCACATACATTATCTTACTTAATCTTCACAATAATCCTATTCAGCAGGTGTTATTATCTCCATTTTTACAGATAAGCAAACTTAGTTGTAAAGAGATTAATTTGCCCAAGGTCCAATAAGTGCTAGAGTTGGGATCCAAACCTTGGTTGCCTGGTACCAAGTTTGTGCTCTTAATCAAGTACATGACCCTTCATCTGGTTATAAGCAGATATTTGCCAAAGGTGAAGTTAGTGAGATATCAAGTTATATTTATGTTTTTTAGAATGGTCACTGGGGTGAGATATTTTCATAAATATTAGGAGATAGCTTATGGCTTACAGTTGATAGTGATTGAATGATAAAATATTATTCCCTAAATGCCAATTAAAAACACATTTCTAATACTTTCCTTAGTCCCACAAAAAAGGACTCGTGTGCAGAGATCCCAGCTGTGGGTCGCAGTGCCGGAGCCCCACCCTGCTCCTCCTCTTCTCTGCCCTGTGCTGGGCTGCTGGGGTTAGACCGGCCCACTGTGGCTCCCTCTGCTCAGCCAGTCGTGTTTTCTTATCCACCCTGTGCATCAGTTGCAGGGACCTGCAGATGGGTGACTCAGAGCTCCCCCTGGCTCCTCTGAGCTCCCGCACTTGCAGGTGGCAGCCACTGGCTGTCCTCACCAGGCCCGCCTTAGCCTTCCTCTGGACGCTCTCAACCTTTTATTCTTGGCCTCCCATGGGGCCCATGACCCACTCCATCACCGGAGCTGGAGAACTGGGAGTCTTCCTTGCCTTCTCTTCTTTCCTCTCTCCTCATCCAGAACACAACAAGTCCCAGCATCCTCACCCCAAAGTAGTTTGGGAGCCCATCCCCCCCATCCATCCCAATACCTTTGCCTTAGGTCAGCCCCCTGGTCTCTCTCCTGACTCGAGAGCCTGCTGCTGCAGAACTCACCCCCTCGGCTCCAGTCTCTGCACATGACCAGCCACGCTGTCTTCTCCTTAACAGCTGTTCACAACAGCAGTACCTCATTGAAACTCACCATGTGCCAGCACTGTGCTGACATTTTGCATGCACTGCCTCATCTGTGCGCCCTCGGAGGCAGCAAGCCTCCCTTACAGATGAGAAAATTAAGACTTTGAGAAGTTAAATAACTTCTAAGACCATGTATCTGATATGGCCATTCTGCCTTGGATGCACAGGTCTCAGCCACTGTGCTGTGCTGCCACAAGACAGTGTCCAGCCCCACAGTCCTCATGAGCTGGCACCACCGGCCTCTTCAGGCTCATGGGTCAGCCCGACCCTGCTCGGACATCTGTCCTGGCAGCACCATGATTGTGTTGTTTCCTGCACACACTGGGTGGTCTCCTCACTCTGTTCCTTCTGTCTGGAACGCCTGCCCCACCTCCAACCCCATGACTCTGTCCTGTAAGGGTCAGCTCAGCAGTCACCTCCCCCAGAGAAATGAATGACTATCTTGGGCTGGGTCACCTGCTGCTCTTCCAAACCTCAGTTAGACCCCGTGTGTACATTGTCCTCATTTCCACTCATGGGCTGTCTGCGGCAGCCCTGTAGGCACAGGGGCTGTGTCCATCCTTGCACCCTTAGTGCCCAGCACCGAGCTTGACCATCCATGATGGATGTCCATGACCATCCACAATGGTCAATGGTCAATGACCTGCTTTCGTAAGTGCCTTTTATCTGCTGCTTTCCATTCCACCTTGGACAAGAAGCCTCCCACCCCCACCCAGGGAGGCATTGTGTCTGTTTAACCGGCTTCGTACACCACCTGCTCTGCTACAGCGTAGGTGTGCACTTTAGAATTGTGTGTAGAAAGATGATGAGGATTTTTGCTTCCTTTGGGTACAGATGCAAGCCCAGAATCACAGGGCGACAGTGTGACCGATGTGCTTCCGGGTTTTACCGCTTCCCTGAGTGTGTTCCCTGTAATTGCAACAGAGATGGGACTGAGCCAGGAGTGTGTGACCTGGGGACTGGGGCTTGCCTCTGCAAGGTAAGATGGATGGCGCAATGCCAGGGACGCCAGCCACCAGTCAGGGAGGAAGTGCTGCGTGTGTGTGGAATCATCATAGAAAAACGTGGGAAATGGGACTGACCATAATAGGTTTCATAATGCATGTAGCATTTTATGGTCATTACTTCATTTTATAGACATAGTTAGAAAGGAAGACCCTTTCTCCCTTAGAGAGGCCACAGAGAATCTGATGACAGGTAGAGCTCTTTTCCAGAACAATCAACACAAACTTTTATCTATAATTTCATGAATTTCATAGGTTCCCGTAAAGCCTATTCCTGGACCATGGACCCCAGGTCATCATCTCTGCACCGAGGGGTCCTGCCAGGTTGTAGGAGACCTCACAAGATGCCAAGGGGCACCTTATGAAATTTAGGGAATGTTCTCTTTCACTCGTGTGTGGTATAAAATTTTAAACAATTAACGTGGTGTGAAAGCTTAACAATTACGTTATCTTTTGATGTTGTGTTAACATCCGTGTCCTAACATCTTGGGCTGGTATTAATTTGTGTAAGTAGCTAATTGCACTCAGGGAAACTTTGGGAGAAATGATCTCTTGCTTCGTGTCTTGCTTTAATAGGAAAATGTGGAAGGTACTGAATGTAACGTGTGTCGAGAAGGATCTTTCCATTTGGACCCAGCCAATCCCAAGGGTTGTACCAGCTGCTTTTGCTTTGGAGTAAATAATCATTGTTACAGTTCACATAAGCGAAGAGCCAAGGTATGAACTGACACGAAGTATTGTAGAACTCTGTGTATTGATTTGTTGAAATGGGAAGCATAGCCTTGTCTGTTCCTTGGCCTGCAGTGTTTTTTTATTCTTGTTCCCTGAACTTGTAGGGTGTCTGCTCAAAAGTCACTTGCTAGAGGGGTCTTCCCTTACTCTCTATAAAATAGCTTGCCCTGGTCACCCTCTCTGACCTTACCCTTGTATTCTCCACAACATTAATCACTCCCTGACATGTTTTACATTTTGTTTTGAAATTTGCTTATTGTCCATCTTCCTCCACTACTAGAATGTAATCTCTTGATGAACAGGATCTGGGACGTAAGAGATGCCCATAAAACACTCATTGAATGAATGGAGTTTATTATTTTCCCCCTTAAAAGAAAACCCTGTTTCTATACTCATAACACACTGGCACCAAATAGGTGAGGTTTTTTTCCACACCAGGGATTCTCCAGTTCTCTCCAGACACCCACTGGGTGTCCTAAATTCAATTCAATGCTGACACTCTCTACTTGGTGGTAGCATCAGACCCCACAGGTTAAGGGCTCAGTCCCATAAGACTGCCCCTACTTCAGACGCCAAGTGCAAGTTCCAGGCCTCCAGTACTTCTTACAGACCTGGCTACAAATCAGGGATTCCCACAATCCCCTCCTCATGTTTAATAATTTGCTATAACACCTTATAAAGCTCAGAGAAACACTTCACTTATTATTGCTGGCTATCACAAAGGCTGTGTTAGAGTGTACAGATGAGCCATCAAGTGAACAGGTGCATAGGGTGAGGTCCAGCAGGGTCCCAGGCGCAGGAGTTGGATTGCGCCACCCTCCCAGCACTCGGGTGTGTTTGCCAACCCAGGAGCCCTTCGAAACCAACATTTAGGTTTTGTGTGGGAGTTCTGTTATGCAAGCACGATTGATTAAATCATTAAATCATTAGCCATTGGTAATTAACTCAATCTCTAGCCCCTCTCCCCTCTCCAGAGGTCAGGGGTGAGGCTAAAAGTCCCAACCCTCTGATCATGCCTTGGCCTTTCTGGAGTCAGCCCCATCCTGAAGCTACCGAGGGGCCCCAGCCACCACCAGTCATCTCATTAGCACACAAAAAGCCACTTATCACATCGGAGATTCCAAGTGTCTTGGAAAATCTAGTGTGAGGAATTGGGTACTGAGACCAAATACTATGACGAAAGGTATTTCTGTCACCCTGATCATTTGGGACATTGCAAGGGTTTTAGGAGCCCTTCCCCAGGAACTGGGGACAAGGACCAAATAGATATCTCTTACTATATCACAATATTGCACCCCTCATTTCTCTTTTCTTCTTCACTTCTTCCTGCTTTACTTTCCTTCTCACCTATTTTACCATATCTTTTCTTTGGCCACTTTTAAAATTAACTTCATGAAACTAAAACTTTTGTTTTCTTCATTATTCCATGAACCAGTAGTCTCATGCTTGCTTTCTTTGTGTAATGTCTTATATCCAACAAGGATTCAAAGAAAGATTATTTTATATATTTCACTGCCTGCTTCCTAAAAGGAATGCAGGCTGGTAATTGGACAAAAAAATTAATTTGTAAATCGCTCTGAAGTCTCCTCTCCTTACCTCCCCTGACAACCCCAGGAACCAGAAAGCATCTATTCCAACCTATGCCTGATGGATTCTTCCTATTTCTTACCTCAAAATTAACTGGCTTCCTTTGTGACCAGGGAAAGATTTAATTTTGATGCTCTAGTTAGAGAAAAATAATAATAGCGGGCCACTGTATTTTATATCGCATTTTTCTCTATAAGGAGCTCTCTGTTAAAATGTGCCCACAGCCCCAGTTATTATTCATACACTTATTTATTTATAATTTGAACCTTTATTGAATGCCTACTAATTGTCAAGAACCAGGATGTGTGCTGGGATACAAGGATAAATCCCACATGTGTACGGCCATTGCCCTCTGAGAACTCCGGTGGCGATGGGTCCGTTGTGGGAGCCCGAGGGAGCAGGATAAAGAGGGGACATATCCAGCAGGCCCTTGAAGCAGGTGGCGGCCCCGCGAATCTTTCTGGTGACATAATTCAGCCATCACCAAGGAAGCCACAGCCACGTTTCCCTCCCTTGCTCTCGTGTTCCAGTTCGTGGATATGATAGGCTGGCGCCTGGAGACGGCAGAGGGAGTGGACGTCCCCGTGTCATTCAACCCAGGCAGCAACAGCGTGGTGGCGGACCTGCAGGAGCTGCCCGCAACAGTCCGCAGCGCGTCCTGGGTTGCACCTCCTTCCTACCTGGGGGACAAGGTAATGACGTCTTGTCGCTCCTCTGAGCCCTCTGTGGCCCTCTATCACATGAGCGTAAGCATCAGGCAGTGCAGGTTACTAACACTTTAGGAATTAGGAGAACGAAAAATGAAGAAGAGACCTTGTGTGAGGGGCTGAGCAGGAGCTCGTGTGGCCCCATGTGTGAGCCACCAGTAAAGGAAAGTGCGCACAATGGTTTTTTTCCATTTTCACTTAATGCCAAAGAATTTTCCTCCAGGGAAATGCCATTTAAATAATATCTGTTGCAAATCGGACATGTATGCTTTTAAATGCCAATGCTGAGAATTCTTTGTTTTAAAGCAGAAGAAAGGCCCCCTGTCAGAAGACAAAAGCTGAAAAGTGACTCATAAGCTTATTAAAAGACACACAGGATGCAGTGGCAGTTTGGCTTCCATAAGCAGAATCGTGTGCGTTTAGTTACACACTCCTCAGGGACCTTGTAAACGCGTTGCTCTTCTTTGCTGCACGACTTATTATTCCAGAGTCTGGCCGGCTCTGCCCACATTATGAGGACAGAAATGCAGGTCTTGTGTGGAAACTCCAGCAGGTGACACATGCTTCTTAGCAAGGGGAGAACTTTTGAAAACAGCTGTGTTCACAGAGCCCAGCTCAGGTGATGCCGCATTCTCACATTTAGAATAACTGAATATTAGGGCCTTATTGGCCTGAGGTCTCCAAATCCGTCTTCTGGGTGGAAGGCTGTGGGTTTTGACATGTGGGTGTGGGGCACGTTGCTTCTCTCCTGTGACCCACCTGTCCCTCACTTCATACTCCTCTTCAGCTCTACACTGTTAGCCCGTGTGCTGATCATCTATTGCCATGTAACAAACTACACCAACACTTTGCAGCTTAAAGAAACAACAGTTATTTTCTTGCACAGTTTGTGTGGATCAGGAATTCAGGAGGACACGCCCAGAGTCTCCTATGAGGTTGCCGTCAGCCAGGGCTGCAGTCACCTGGGACCGGAGGATCCGCTTCCAAGTTCACTCATACGGTTGTTAGCAGACCTCTGCTCTTTGCCAGCTGTTGGCTGGAGGCCTCAGTTCCTCATCACATGAGACCCTCCACAGTTTACCTGAGGGCCCTCATGACATGGCAGCTGGCTTCCCCCAAAGCAACTGATGGGGCGGGGTGGAGAGAGAGAGTGAGCGCGCTAGCTCAAGAAGAAGCCGCAATATTTTTATAACCTAATTTCAGAACTGACACATTCTCACTTCTGCCTTATTCTGTTCCTCAGACGTGAGTCACTAAATGCAGCCCACACCGAAGGAGAGGAGAATTAGGCTCCACCTCTTGAAGGCAGAGTACAAAGAATTTGTGGGCATATTTTTAAATGTACCTTAGCCTATCAAAAGGCAATTCTTAATCTGAATAGGACGATTCAAGATGTCACCTTGAAATACCTCTAGAGTCGAAGTTTATACCTCTGTGAGGTTTTGCCGGGTAACAGATTCCAGGGAAAAGCTTCTGTTGACTGGGATCCCGGAAGAGCAACCTCTTCCCCCCGTGTCCAAATTGTTGGTATTTTCCGTAGAGTATTTCATTCTGTCTAATTTGAGCTGATCTTTCTCTGACTTCCATCCTTTGGTCACTCCTTCCTTCTTGATTGGTCTTGTCTTTAAGGGTGGAGGTATCAGGGCCAGAGGTGAAGCAGCTGTCAGAGAACCATGTCCACTCAGCTCCATGTCCCCAGCATGACCATGGTGCTTCGGTGGCACTGAGAGAAGGTCCATACCCCTACTGGAGCAGTTGATCGTGGCTTCTATACCCAGTGGAATTCACAAAAACTTGGGAAATATTCACCAGCTGCTTTCAGGAATATTTTCTGGGGGAAAATTTATTTTTAGAGGTTCATTTTGTGACTGATAGCTATTACCCACTTCTCTCAGTTAAATAAGAAACCAATGGCCTAGATTTTCTAGAATAGCTGTGGATTAAATAAACATTTTGGCTTAGTAATCATCTAGAAAAAAAAGGATCTCTTTTGTTGTAGTATGACTATTCTTTTTCTTTTTAAGTATCTTCTCGCTGATAACACTCAATCATGTTCATGTTAAACATTTTAAATGATATAAAGCATAGCATAAAGTAGAAAGTTGAAATAGCATCCTCAAGCCCAGTCTCCAGATATAACCCTTGTTGGCAGGTTGTTTGGGTATCTTTCCAGGTGTTATGTGCCTATGTCCTTTTTCTGCAGGTTACTGCTGCCATGGTCTCTTTTAATACTTGTGCTATTGATGCTTTTAACTCCATTTTAGGTTTCCTCGTATGGCGGCTACCTCACTTTCCAAGCCAAGTCCTTTGGCTTACCTAGTGACATGGTTCTCCTGGGAAAGCAGCCGGATGTGCAGCTCACTGTATGTATCAGAACATGACCTGCAGGGCAGGAAGCCACTGTTGCAGTTGTTGCCAATTTAAATTTAGGATATCTTGATACATGGCCTACAAAACATTTAGGTCAAGTCACTTCTAATATTTTATAGAAACTGAAATGAAAATGTAGAGCGTGTGGCATCTCCTCAGGATTCTGCTTCCTCCGACCAAATGGTTTCTTTCTTCTCCCCTCCCAAAATATTAATACTTAAGGGTATTTTTTCCTTGCCTCTCACAAGTGACTGCCTCAGCTTAAACTTTTTTCTGTTTCTATCTTATCAATTTAGTTTAATAAATGTTTTTGAGCCCTTCCTATGTGCAAGACCATATTGCTGAGCTCTATAAAGGGCAGGTGACCCCTTTCCTCAAAAAGGAGAGATTAGCGTAACATGCTAGTAACTCCAGTGCATGTAATGGTGTTTGAGGATAGTCCCAGCAAAGCTCTATGGCCGCTGGTGTCTGAGTAAGGGGGATGGGAGCTATGTGTGGTCTGAGATGGACTCAGAAGGCTTTGTGGTTTATTTTGAGCCGGGCCTTTAAGAATGGGCATAAGAGGAAACATGCCTCTCCAGGAACAGGGACTAAGGTAAACTGAGGCAGGAAGTAGTGCAGGGCAGGAGGTTGTGCTCAAGGGACAATCAGCTGGACATGGCTATATTATCAGTGTGTGCTAAATCATGAAATACAAGCCTGGAAGGATTTGATGCTGTGACAGGAATTTAACTTGATATAGACAGGGGGTCGGGGAGGGACTTTGGTTTTTTGAGAAGTGACAACATCCACACCCTATGTGCCTGGCACACAATCCAGAGCTGCAATCTAGAAAATGATGTCACGTCCTACTTTGAATTCCCCACAACGCAGGGCACAATACCTTGAACATAAGTTGGGGTGCCATTGTCTGAAGTTGGCTTTATTTCTGGATTTTGTGCTGTGATGAATGCAAGGTAATTATAGCTTCTTGAAGGGTTTTCTCATGTCATACACTGTAAACAGGGACCAACAAGTCCCACACACCTCGTCACATTCTTAGTAGATATTTGTATTCAGGCACCACCATGCTGTGTTTTGTTTTTACTGGTATCCAGATCTGTAGAATTGTTGTTTTAGAAACTCCAAGGAACCTTTGCAGAATATCTTGAAAATAAAGCAGCAGAGATTTCAGAGTCATAGTCGAAGGAAAAATGGCTGCACAATAAAAGTGCTCTCACGGCAGTGCTGTATTTCAGTTTCGTATTTTTGCAGAGCATCTCATCGTTCCAGCCATTAGTATACGTATTTTTTACTGCCAAAGAGTTTATTATGCAAACCGTTGTGGTTCACTGAGAGGTAATGACCAAAATTTCTCTTTAATTTTATCTTCAAACACAGAAAATCGTTTAGGCTCCTGAAACATTTACTCTGCTGCTTTGTTCCAAACCACTGTAATTAAGAGCCTTTGGGGCATGTTTCTTAGATTAAGTTTCAATGATATGTGATTTCAGTTAATGCTCTTCTTTCTGCAATACCGGCTCTAGTGAATGGGACTCTTTGGGGTTTGGTGCTACAACAGAAAGGCTGGGGCTCGTGTATGTTTGC